GTGCACGCAATGTTCGAACAATGTGGGAGACCGAGAGGATCAGTTAAATAGCTGTGGAAATGAGATACAACTTGGCAGTACTCGGAATCAGCGAAACCCATTGGATCCAAGATGAGTAGAAAAAGCTATATACGGGAAGGATGCTGCTGTACTCCGGTTACGAAGAGGAAAATGTTCCACACACTCAGGGAGTCGTACTGATGCTGTCTAATGAAGCAAGAAATGTACTTATAGGACGAGAGGTTCACTGATACAGGATCATCAAAGCATCCATCAAAACAAAGGAGGAGATCACAATGAATGGTATTCAGTGTTATACACCCACAAATGATAGCAACAACTACAATAACGATCAATTCTATGACAAGCTGCAATGAATCATAACGAAGAGCCCAATAAAGGAGCTAACAATCCTGGTGGGATATCTTAATGCCAAAGTTCGAATGAACAACACCAGATAAGAAAATATCATGCGACGACATGGACTGAGGGATGGGAACGAAAATGGTGAGGGCTTTGTGAAATTATGTGCATTCAACAACTCGGATATAGGTGCCATATTATTCCCACACAAACGCATAAACAAAGCTATATGGATTGTAAAGTGTGATCGATAAACGAACTCACCAATGATAAAGTGAAACTCCTACCACCACATTAACTTTCATTTATGTCTCCCCTTTTCCCTGCTTAATAGACCGTACCGTTTATTTCGTATACTAACGGTGTTAATTTATGTTTTAGAAACAGATAAAATTTATCAAGCAAAATAACTTATTTGTTCCGACTTTGGCTAAATCAAGACTCTGTACTCGACAGTGTAGAGAATAGCTTACAGTTACACCTGTAGGAAATTGCTCCCTACATGGATCTCACCGAACCACACTACGGAGAACCAAGTAGATCATATTTGTATCAATAAACAATCCATGAGCTGAACGGAAGATGTGAGAACCAGGAGAGGAGCTGACGTACCTTCTGCCCACCACCTGGTTGTGATCAAGATGAAAGTGAAGCTAAAGAAAAATTGGACAGATGGTTAAACAGTATTACAAATGTTCAATAGAGCCCTCCTACGAAACACCAATTGAAGAATTCAAGATAGCTCTCAACAACAGGTTCTAAACCTTACAGGATATACTGAAAGAAGAAGAAACTATTATAGAAGACAACTAGAAGGGTATCAAAGAAACATTAACTTCAACATCTCAGGAGGTGCTTGTCCGCTATAAGCATCATTATAAGGGATGGATCTCTATGGAAACCCTGGATAACATTCAAGAATGGAAAAACAAAAAGAGAGCATTTAACAACACCTGAACAAGAACAGAGAAAGTCAAAGCATAGAACGAGTACACAGGAGCAAACAAGTGGATGATGAAAAGCATTAGAGCTGACAAATAGAAATACGTTGAAGAGCTGGCAACGACAGTGGAAAAGCTGTAAGCGAAGGAAATATGAAACAGATATATGACGTGACGAGGAAACTGACAAGTAAATATAGTACACCAGAGAGACCAGTAAAGGACAAAAAAGGCAAGACAATCAACCACCCAGATTGAAGAGCAGAGAAATAAATGGGTGGAACACTTCGAGGAACTCATGAATACACCATTTCCATTGAATCCATTGGGAATCAAAGCAGAATCCACATACCTTCCTATAGATGTCACATCACCAGAGACGGAAGTAGTTAGGATGGCCGGTCATCAGACGAAGCAAGAGAGCGAAAGCAGCAGGACCTGACAATATATCAACTGAAGTCAAACATAGAAGTAACTGCAAGCATGCCTCACGTTCTATTCAGGAAAATCTAGGAGAAAGGACAAGTGCTGACAGACTGGAAAGTGGGATACCTCATCAAGATACCAAAGAAATTAGATCTGAGCAGATGTAAGAACTACAGAGGAATCATAGACAGTTCAGTTCATTAATTGTGTGTGGGCGGTGATAATGACCGGGTGCCCAAACCGAAGCAGGTGGTTATCTTAGGGGGCCACACCTCGAGCCTTTGACATAATGGTCTAACCCACAAGGCAGTGAAGCATCGTGAAGAGATGCAGTCCCATGGTAGCCGGTGACCGAAAATTGGTTCATACGCCATTCGTTCACTCAGGATACTGGAGCCCATGTGCACCATTGATTTGGGATCCGGTTAAAGCGCCGGACATTCGCTTTTCGTCCTTTCATTTTCGTAAACAACACAGGTGCCACGAGAAGGCAATGAGTAAGACTTCCCTGGCAGAGGCTGTATACGCGTGGCCGTGTGAGAGTAGTTCGAGAGGGAGAGCGAACCCACCCCGCTCTCGGCCATACCAGGACGTTTGGGGGGGGGAAGTATTACACCACTGTCAGTCCTAGGAAAAGTTATCGACAGAGTGTTGATGAAGCGGACGAAAGACTCAGTAGACGCTTAACTTCGAGATCAAAGGGTCGGATTCCGCAAAGGTGGATCGTGCATAGACCGATTCACGACACCACTGATCATCGTTGAGCAACCAGTTGAATGGAAGTTGTCAATACACGTCAACTTCATAGACCATTAGGGGGGTTGATAGTGTGAATGGGAGAACATTATGGAGACTTCTTAGAATCTGTGGTTTGCCTCAGAAGATTGTCCATACCACAAGGAATTCATACGACGGAATACGGTGCGAAATGGTGCATGGAGGACAGCTGACTGATGCGTATTGAGTGAGGATCGGAGTCAGACGTTGCTGCCCACTCCCTCCCTCTCTCTTTCTTCTGGTGGTCGACGAAATTATGAAGACCTGAAAATCTGAGAGGAAGCACAGAGTACAATGGATAGCTCGGAATCAATTAGAAGATTTGGACTTCGCAGGTGAGCTGGCCTTCTATCGCATTCACATCAACAAATGTAGATGAAGACAAGTGGTGTAGCAGCAGTCTCTGCATCAGATCTTAACATACACAAAGGAGAAGGCAAGATCTGTAGAATTATGGTCTACTATGATATTAGTACTGCTCTAATAATAGACCTAATCCTATAATTGTAGATTTGTCACGATATAACTGCCTAATCTATAAGATCTTACGTGGAAGCAACATCATCGTCTACACCAACTCACTGTGTCGTAACAATTATCAATACATGATGGCGAACAAGCTTAGGCTGAAGAAAGAACAATACATTTAATATGAATAAAAGATATAAGGTAACATTTCACAGGGATCACGCCTGCATGGCCTAGCCATGCCGTACGATCAACTCCAATTCATTCAACTCATTGTTCCCGCCTTTTCCATTGTTAGGTATTTCTCCCCGTTAAATATTGAATATCTATTTTCCGAGTAGTCTTGTGTTCAGCTTTGAGGATTGTGTGGTTATGGTCCAATGTCACTACATACTAACCAAGTTTCTTTCACAGCCACGAGTAACCTTAATTTATCAAATAAGGCCTCTAGTCCATAAAATTCATTTCTTAGGGATAACAGTCCTCCCACACAAGCCTTGGTAGCATTCGCTTTAAAGATCTGATTATTCGGAAATACGCTTATCGGAGATTTTCCCCACCATCTTGTCGGTGGGTTTCTAGTTCAGCTTGTGACGACTTCCTTTTTATTGTATCTTTGAGTGACATATCAGGTTTTACTTGAATGTCGGAAATGTCGTGAATACGGGCGCTACTTAACAGGTCACACTGCTTCTCCGACGTTAAGATTACTTTAAGGGAATCTACGTGATCGGGGTTCAACACTGTCGTTGGTCCTCTTACCTATACTTATCAATTTTTTTATCTGAACTACTTGAAAGTTATTTGGTAAGATGCTATGGATAAATTCTTCGAGCTTTTCCGAATGATGCGCGTGTATAATTATGGGATCAGGAACGTTTGGCTTTAGCAAATCACTTACAATAATATTCGATGACTTTAAATTCTTCCCAGCCACGACAGGGTGAAGCATTGTCTTACTATTAGACTTTGGTAGTGAAGTTTATGACTCAGAATGGAAGCTCATCAATCACTTGCCGACCAAGTGTGTAGCGCTTATAGCTTTTTACCATTCACTTTTTTTCTCCGCAATGCCGTCCATTTTTTATCACTCGAGACAGTCATACCGGAACTATTTTTATCCGGTTCTTCAACTTTTACTGAAGAAGCATGACTACTCATGTCAACATCAAGTGACATTTCACTACTCGTTAATTTCAACGGATAATTTACTTTTCTGTCAATCCCAGTTGAATGTTTGATGCGTCCCGTAACGGCATGTACTACAATGACACATTCTTCACCGTGAGTACTTGTGTTACCAAAGCAATCACCATCTTTCTTCTTACAGGCTAAGGCTAGGAGGTTCATAGCCTTCTGGATCAGCAACGTCTAATTTGTACAGCAAAACATACAAAACCTGTGTGATTTAGGCTTCGGGCATCTTTTGGGACTTTAACGAGTGCACATCTTATGAAAAAATTTTTGAGGCGAAATAAAATATTTCTATCGGTTGGAAAACCGTTCTTACGACCATCACATTGCAAGAAAAAAATATTTCTCGAGTCAAAGATTTTAAATAATCTCGTGGCGGGTCTTTTGTCAGGAGTACGTTTTAACGTGGCAGCAAATTCACCGTTCACGGTTAGTAGGTTTCGGGTTATATTGTATCAGTTTACACACCAATGTCATCTTATTGTTGAGAGCTTAGGTTTAACTATCTTTACTATCTTTGGTTTATTGATGTTCCCGATCTTCCTAGTTAACAAATATAATTATCTTTGCTAAATTTTCGAAAAATCTTACAGTTTGTGTACAGAATGTCAAAGGCGCATTCTACTTCAGTGTGTCTACCAATCGACTTTTTCTGGGCCATATTTTAATACTTTCTACGTGCTAGAGAAACGTGGCCACTTCTCCAAAATTTACAACGTCACAAAATGTCTCATACGCACTGCAAAACATTTTACTTTCAACACTGTTAACATATTCGATTAAAGGTTTATTTAGCGGTTAATTGGAAGATCATATATTTATTTGTATTCGGTGATTTTGTTATTTGGCTAAATTTTCTTGAAGAAACCCAAGCTAGTTTGCTGAGCAAAATGTTGCGTTTACTTTAAGTTCAGTCACTGAAATTTTTACGTGTATAATTTTCCTCCTTAATGTGGTAGGTATGTCTGAAATAATATCCTCGAGAATCGAGGCGAAATAGTCTTCGTCTGTCAATTTAAGCCATTTCTTCTATGAATAAAAATAATATTTTATAATATCTCAATTTATCTGGAATTGTCAAGTCAAACCCTGGTAATGATACCCACATTTCTTCTATGGTCAGTAAATACTGGGTAGCCGTAGGCTTGTTATCTGTGATTGCCTGCTAGCCATGGATTTTGGTTCAGTAAAAGACAATGTAGGTGTCGATACATGTAATGTCCACCTATCCTCACTATGCACCCATAGAACCTAGGAAATCAATGAAAAAGAAGGCAGTGGATTTGAAACAAATATAAAAGTTTTTGTCTGCTTATTCTTTTATTTAAACACGTAAACATTGGTACAAGGAGTCACCAAGCAGATATGTGCCCCATAAATCATTCGATTTGTGTGAGAGCTGGGATACTGCCCGGACTTGTCATAATTCTTCTGGTACGACAACAGCACTATTTCAAAAGATGTGATTTAAAACTAACAGTTGTCTCTTTACAGGTTTTCGTTTCCTGAAGTTAGTGATTAGAAAATTTTCAAATTCATTCTGATGCCTAGCAAATTTTCAGTTTTCACGTATGTCGTTAGGGGTTTGAGGTAACGTCTGTTCCATTTATATACACAGTAGTAGTTCTCATTGGAACCATGTTAAACTTGGACCTCCAGATGCAATTTTGGGGATTACCGAGGCATATAATCGTGATACCAATCCTCAGAAGATTAATCTGGGGGCTGGTGCCTATAGAGATGATAGTGGGAAACCCTTCGTCCTACCATCTGTCAAAGAGGCTGAATCACTTTTGTTGGCGAAAAATTTGAATAAAGAATATGCTCCAATCAGTGGCATCCCCCAATTTTGCGATCTGTCCATTAAACTCGCACTTACTGATCAGTCTTCACGGATCAAAAATCGCTGTGTAAGTTTGACTGTTTATTCCATTTGTTTTTAGTTTTGGAGTTTGTTAATACTAACTCGCGTCCCATCCAATTCATTGATATTGTATTTATATGTTAAGTTGAATGCATAATTTAAAACTCAATTAGTTAAATGAATTTAAGCTTCGGAGTTTGTCTTATAAGATACGCATATATGCGTGCTTGGTATATGGATAAAACTCTGGTTTCAGATATTTTTCGCTTTGCAATACTTTACTAGTTTTTTGAAGCTGAGTATGTCACAGATATCAATCTGTAGTATGTAAAAAAATATCTAAATCTGATCTAACTAATAAAGTGGAATATTGTCAGAATGGTGACATAGTTGCAGAATAAGATGTAGGAAACGATGTATGAAAAATGTTACTGTTTTATCCAGTCAATTGTAAAACGGTTGATAGAAAGCTTGAATGCTAATATCCAAAGCATGGAGTAAATTTTGAATGCAATACATTCCTTGTCTACACTTAAGCTTACATCTGTTTAGTATTACTTTGTACCATAAGTAATATAAACGCTAGTTCCAATCATGTTAATATACTCCTCAGAAAAATCATTGCACACAATAATACATAGGTTTCTAAAACCCAGTATATTTCAGTTCAAAGTAATTCCTCAACACAGGCAAAATATTTAGTGTTCTAAGTAGGTAGTTATGAGAAGTAATTCACTTCATATTTTAAATGTAAACAAACAGATGAAATAAATTTTAAATTCAAGCTAAATGAAACACGTAATGACCTGGACCATATAAAACTTTGATAGTAAATATAGATACGAAATTCATGTTGGGAAGTCTTCACATCCGTATAAAAATGAACTACTTAAGACGTGTGGGTTTATTGTCTCTAGGCGAAGCTAAATTACATAGTAAATAATCCTAAAACGTCTGTCTTGTGATAATCAGTCATAATCGATGTGAAGTCTGATATAAATGGGGATTGGCCTGAGTTGCCGTATCATATACTCACAATATATGAAACTGATTCAATGAGTAGCAAAAAATGTAGTGGCTACAATAACAAGAAAAATCAAACATTGACATGCTTCAAAAAGGCAGATCGAACAAGTATATATGTGATAAGTTTTCTGATTGAACGCTACTTTGTTATATTTGGTCGTCGCTGATTGTTATGACGGAATCGCTAATCATTTATACTTGTAAAGTGAGAAACCACCGCAATTTTCACGATGCGTAAGTAAGAACACAACGCCTAGTACAAGTGAAGACTTATTAACCTCAAAACTCGATGACGACGACCCTAGTCGAAAATACATTCGTCTATTTATCGATTCGTACACTCATTTTTGATTAATAATTAGAATAAGATCATATATATGAAACAATACTTAGGGTTATAGCAAATCACATGCTACATGTCATGCTGAGCATAGTTCAGGTCAATTGAATACAAGATTATCATATGTTGTACAGAATAAAATGTCATACGGGAAAGCAAAACAAATACTAAACTGAGTAATCATTACATTAAATTAAAACGAAAACAGTGTTGACCAAAAATCACAATGTAATCTTGACTTTTCATCCCGTTAGATCAACATAAAGTAACACTGTGACAGAAGACCACAAACTCTTATTTTAGCTGTAAGTTATCTTAACGGCAGACTTATGGTTTTTGTTGATTTTAGATAAGATTAATGTTGTATTATACCATTTTTATACTTTATTTAGAACGCTACAACTCAGACAATATCTGGTACAGGAGCCCTTAGAATCGGTGGATCTTTTATCGTACGTGTTGTCTTGTCATTTTGGATAAAATCTTTTTAGAATGAATTTGCGGAACAAAAACATATATGGATGCCAACACCTACTTGGGGCAACCATAAGCCTATTTTCACGTGGGTTCATCATTTTTAGAAAATAATGATTTGTTATTGGAAGCCGATTTTTGAAGTGAAAATGGTTCTCGTTGTCGTAGAAAGTTATGACTTATGTAGCTTTAACTGTTGTTGAAGGGTACGGCTGATGTGTTACTAAAACAGTTCACTAGCTGTTATTGTTTTCCGTCATTTTGTATAGTTAAACTCCTACTTTCTCTGGTTAAATGGGTATATATATTATCAAAGCAGATATATAGATAAATGTTACTAATTGGTTTTTAGTTACTTAATGAGGAAATACAACGAGATCATGCTTTAAATTGAAAGTAGCAGAGTTTTTATTCTCAAATATTTGACGAAAAACCTATTAATCTGTCTCCAAGATATAGACAATTTAATTTAGACAAACACTGAACAACAAGCTTTTTGTTTGGAAGTAACAAATCAAACCAATAAGGAACTCAATGAGCAAGTACACTGGTTTGTTTGCTTTTCTTTTAACCAAATATGTGTCTGTGTGTGTAAAACCTACTAATATCACCCAGCCTGAAGAACCTATACTATGAAACAGTTCACTCTGTATTACTCCGTGGCCGTGAAACTAAAAGGTATGCATATGTTGCAAGGTGCTAACTTCCTTTGTTTGATATTTCTCTCGAGTGATCATTTTGTATGTGACTGTAGAAACGTCTATTTATTTTTAAAATATAGACATAGTGGACTAAATGTACACCAATATCGTTATTACAATAGTAATACTTGTGGTCTCGATATAGATGGTTGTTTATCCGATTTATCAAAAATTCCCAAAGGACATTTTGTTCTACTTCATGCATGCGCACATAATCCTACTGGAGTAGATCCGTCATTTGATCAATGGCAGAAAATTGGAGAGATTTTGCAATCACGTGGTTTGATTCCATTTTTCGACTGTGCTTATCAAGTACGTCAAGAAAATTTATTAATATTCTTTTTGTTAGTTTTAAACGGAATCGGTCTTTAGTTATATCCTAGCTGACAACCAACTTGATTGCGTTTAATTCTTCATAGTCGATTAGGACCTATAACAGATAACTTAAGTAAGTGCGATACGTCCGAAAAGATTACGAGATTACTTAAAATTGGCCGACGGAACGAAGAATCAGTAACATATCAACAAGACAAGTTAAAATATTCACTGCGTCCCAGCCCTGCTGACTAGAGGAAGAAGACCAGATTCAACCGAAGAGAAAGTACATTTCACAAGCTGTCGAAAGCACAAACAACAAACACACAACTCAAGCGCATATATATAGTGTAAAAATGGCTTCGTGAAACGTCACAAAATAGCGTATTAAACGAGGAAGCGAATCAATGACATTTAAGGTCCTTCCAAGTGGAAAATACAAAGTGAAGTTAAAAGTGTGCACTTTTGGTGCTAAAATGAGGTTTCAATGGCGAGACTATAATTTATGGCCGAACCAATCAGGTGTAAGATAACAGGTCTTGGATTTTGGCGCGAAGTTTACTCATCCATTTGGCTAAATAGCGTTTTGGCATTACAGCTGATGTTAGTTCGTGGTGAAAACCATAAATCTAATTCCTAACCTTAACCACCAACTTTAAGTCATAATTCTAATTCCTCACACTGGTTTAGAACTCTCATTTGGTCCATTCTCAAGGTCACTTTAGCGTCGCTCAAAGGTCGTCCATAAATTATAGTCTTATCAATCCAATTTTTAAAAATGAAATTATAAAAATAAGACGTTTACTGTGTGATTTCTGGGAATCTAGCATCCTTAAAAATGTGACACAACAAGCTGCTCTACTTTCTAATAATAATGCAAGGTATTTTATGACAACAGGAGTTTATAATTCGAAATCTGACACTGGTAAAGATCTATTTATCAGTAATTTGTACATGTAATCGTATTGAAACCCATGTCCTTTCTAAGAAATGTTACCACTGAGCTACTCAAATAACACTGTTGTATTTAGCAAATGTTTGTTTATCGAACTCTAAAGATCACGAAGGATCTTTGGTTATCGATAAAAAACTAATATACTTGAAGTGCTGATCTATACCAACTGTATTTCTCATGAGCATTGTGAGTTGATCAAACTTGTTTTAAACATCTCATTTTTGTAAAAACCGGTTGTCAAAATCTTTTTATGAATAGAAGTTTCACTGATTGGAATCACGAGTCAATTAAAGCTAGACGAACATGGAAAACCTGGAAGCACTGGGCGGCCGTTTCGTCCCAGCATGGGACTCCTCAGCAGTGCGCATCCACGATCCCGCCCCCCGCGAGATTCGAACCCAAGACCTATCAGTCTCGCGCCAGGCCCTTGAACAACTAGACCACTGAGCCGAAATCCAAGGGTGTTAATGTCTAACTTTAACCAATCCACGAAGTTGCGCCACCATTGTCTTCTGTGAGTTGATATCTCACAACAGACCTGAATGAACACTGGTAACGGCTTCTCACTAGAAACGACCGTCTAGTGCTTCCATGGTGATCTAGCTTCAATTGACTCATGATTTCGATCAGTGAAATTTCTGAAATCTCCACAAAACCCCCTCTGAGAATAGAAGTTTGTTGGATGAATCAAGTTTTTCAATTGTTGGGATGAATATATTAAATGCTAATTGGTGGATAAAATGTTATGATACAATGTCGCTGAGTGATGTTTCCTCATTGACCAAAGTATTGATATAGGTTCTCAATTGGTGCAGTGTCAGAAGACAAAATATCTGCGCAGTAGAATAAGTGTTTTCTAACAAAATAACGCTGATACACAGAATTGCGAACATAGAAATAAGTGTTGGTTAAAAATCATTTGACATATTAATGATTCGAATATCTCCCAACTCTGTAATGCGACTAGTGTCTAAGAGTCAAGCTTAATTCTTGCTCAGTTACATCAAAACTTCAAGATCACACTTATACGCCCGAAATCTCTTAATAAGACATGTGTTAAATGTTATACAAAACGTTTAATAATTATGAATTTCCTTTATTTGCATAATACACCCTTCGTTACATGTAAGAGCGTTCAGAAACTCCGATCCAAGCACATTTAATAATATATAGAATTATTCATTGTAATATCTGTTTTTTCTGTTTTTACTAATGTTTATCGATTTATGTTTCAGGGATTTGCCTCCGGCAATATTGATAATGATGCGAAAGCAATACGTTATTTTACCGATGAATTAAATTTCCCCACCATATTACTTACACAAAGTTTCGCTAAGAACATGGGACTATATGGTGAACGTGTTGGTGCTTTCACTTTACTTTGCTCATCTCCTGATGAAGCCGAACGTTGTTTGTCACAAATTAAGATTATTATTCGACCAATGTATAGTAATCCACCGATTCATGGCGCACGTATTGCAACGGAATTAATGTCTAATCCTGATTTACGTCAAAAGTGGTAAGTTAATGTTTTTCAAACTTCTGCTAGCTGATGTCTTGTTTTATTTCCAGGTGACTTATTTATTATTAGTAATATAGAAAGTTTTGTAAATTACTAAATACAAGGTCAACGGGTAAAGTTATGAAAAAATTAGATATGAGACAGATCATACAGTTAATGGATAAACAAAACAATCAACATGAACTTTATTCAGTTGGAATAACCATATTGATTTTTACAAAGAATGCAGTAATTGATTATTTCAGGTTTCTTCTTTCTATTTCGAACCATGTCTGGTCACATCAAAAACTACAATGTTGCGTGATTCCTAAGATACCCTATCTAGGAAGCTGGTATAGACTAACAGTAGTCAGTTCAACACAGGTATGTTCCATCTCACGATGGCATATCCTACACTGACCACCTACGTTTTCTATTTGAGTCCCAGCACTGGTAAATAATGAATGGTGTGGTAGCTGTTGTGATGGAAATTGCAAAATGTATCTAAGCCATTTAAGGCGGTGTTTCATTGTAGGAATGTGGTGTATGCTACTTATGTCTGTCGGCACAAGTAGTATGTAACACCAATCAGAAGTGTAATGCCTGGCAGCAGAAGGTTGAGAAGATCGGATTAAGGAAAACAGAAATGTAAACAGAAAGTAATTGTAATAGCAATAAAGGGACGGTGAAGTTTGAAACAATTGATGGAAGATTTGCAGATGAAGTATTCAATCTATGGCTTATCACAATTTACGAAAAAAAAAACTTATTTTGCATTAAATAATAAATCGTTTATCCCAACTTGAATGTTCGTTCACTACAGTAACATTTATAGAGTAATCTATTCAATTACATCTGAAATCACATTTCTGAAACGCTGAAACATTTACTCAGTATTATCGCCAAATATCAGTGGTTCTTTGCAAATAACGATAGTGGAAGTAAAGTTGGATATTACTGAAACCCAAATTAAGTGTTGTACGTTATTTCATACAACCGAATCCTGAACTACTATGATACTCATTTGAGCATCTATATTGTACACAGCGACCAGTTTATCATAAACGGTGACAACAGCTGACAATTGTTTGATAGCAATAACCAACTGTAATAGTTGTCTGTCAATTTTTATTTTACTTTGAATGTTATTCTGCTCTGGAGAATCTCTTCCATTAAGTCAGTATATTGAAATCACAAACCGGTCTAAGTTAGACAAACATTAGGAATCTGGAAGCACTGGATGGATGTTTTTTCTTAGTATTGTAGTGAAGGAGAACACAGGTGAGGACAGCCGATTATATTTAACACAAAATTACAGAGTTACTTGGTAAAAAAAATCATACTCTAATACTTCATTTGCAAAATGCTCATTAATTGTCTCAGACTTCATTTTCATACCAATTGCTTTCTGTTCCCGTTATTCCCTTCTCAATCTCTTGCTGCCAGACATTGTAATCCTGACTCGCGCTATATACTATTTATGTCGATATAAGTAGCACACACCACAGTATGAAAAACCCTAGCAGTGCTCATTCAAGTCTACGCAACCGAGGATAGGACCCAGGTCCTTTGATCTCGCGCTCATGTCTAACCTCTCAATCACTGACTCAGGATTCAGTGACGTACAAGTATAACTCCAGCCAATCCACAATACTGCGCGACCATCTAACATTCCTTACACCCTACACAATTGAATTCCACTGGTCACGATTTATCACTAGAACTCCGGAAATTTTTTTTGTAGCTAGTCACCAGTGAGCACGTAATAACTATCATTATAAGGTTGTGAAGATTGTTAAGTTTTATAACCGGACTACTTAATATACACCGATTTTTTACAATCTATAATTCGTTTCATTCAGAATTATTTGTCTTAAGTGTAAAAACGTGCATAGCTATCTCCACTTCGTAAATTTTACAGAATTCTTCTCTTAGTTAGAATGTCTATTCAAGCAAATCATTCAAGTAATGAAGAACTTGGAAGGTAAGTGCATCTGTTCAAGTCGTTGCACCATATCTCCACAGCAAGATACAATTATCAAGTTCAATGCCAGAACAGTAGAAATAGTAATAGTATCAGCGGTATCAGAAAAAATTAGGGATAGATAATATATTTCGAGAAGAAACAATTAATTCTCAGAGTGAGTGATCTGACATAGTTTTGAACTTCAGAATTTTAGAGAAAACAGTAAATTAACCTGGACCATTGTGACCGATTCTAAACCATATATCACTCAATATATCCAACCAAACGAATATTGAATAAAATCTGGATCTTGAAGATTTATCTCAGAAAATAATGGATTAATCATAGTCAATACTCGGTGTATGATAGAAATGACTGATGCATACGGGGATTCCTCTCATATTCCTGAAGAATGTGTGAGAAAACTACATCAGTGACCACACTGGTTTCCATTCTGAGTCATGTTAGTTAACGCCTCAAGTTTCTGAGTTGGATACTCGTTAGGAATCCATACAAGGAGTGGTGATGAGCCAGTAGGTGCTAGACCTATCGTTTTCTTCCGCGTCACAGCGCCATGTCATAAAGTGACCACCTCTTTCTTCCTTGTCTGCTCGGTTACAGTATCGACAATTAATGCGCGATATAAAAGCCACTGGTATGGAATTCTTAAAAAGTATCCAAGCTACTGGCATTACACTAAGCTATCATAATGTTTGTATGTAAAATAAATGTTTAGCTTTAGAACACTTGCCCAACTTTTACATCCATCAGCCGATTCATCCGCCTGTTCAATTCATTTACGATATTATTTACATATTTTAAAAAAAGGCTCATTGATTTGAAAACTATGGCTGATCGTATTATTACAATGCGTCAGAGTTTAAGAAATAGTTTAACCAAAGCAGGATCTCATCATGATTGGTCACATATCACTAATCAAATTGGAATGTTTTGCTATTCTGGGCTTAATCCATCACAGGTGAGTTATTATTATTATTATTGTCTTAGAATTGATAGGGGACATTCGGACCATCGAGTTAGAATAGACAGATAACATGCTGCTGTTTAATAATGTTGAAAAAACTCAGAATCTTTTGATTGTCTTGAGTAACGATACAAGTATATTTGAAAGGTCCTTTTCTCTCTCCAAATGCAAAATGTTACTTCAGGATGATCTGAGTCATCTAGGTCCATCATAGTGCGGGGAAGTATTTGAGTGCGTCGACCGATTTATTTATCCTTATTGATTGCGGAGTTTGCTATACTTAATTGAAATTACGAGCCTATATTAGTGCTCTTAAATGCCCTGGTACGGACGAGGGTTGGGAGAGTCTTATCTCCCTCTCAAACTGCTCTCACATGGCCATGCGTATACAACCACTTCCAGGGGAATCCTACTCACTGCCTTCTCGTGGCGGTTGTGAATCCTCATCTCCTGAGATAGTCGGGCCACGTGTTATGTATGCCTGAATACCGATTACCACGACGCGCAATGCTGAGTGTTTGGAATGGTTGGAAGAAAGTTAAGGGCGGCCAAATTAAAACGTGGTATCAGTCCTTCAAGTCACCAACTTCTAGTCTGAGCCATGTTGATAGATGCAGACTACTTGGTTGGGGTCCGCGTGACTATCCTAACCAATGGTTGGAGACTCTTTGTGACATGGCTCCGAATCGATCACAATGGCGTAGGTGTATACACTCTCTGTCTCCCCTTAAACTGAGAGATTAAAATCGCTTCTTATCTTTCATTCTACTAACTAATTTTTTCTTCCTGTATTATATCTTTATATGCAATCTTCCTTTTATATATTACCACCATTGAATTAACTACTTTCATGAATCCGGTGTTCATCTTGTTGTGTCAATGAAGTATGGCAACTTGGACCGATGCATATATTTGCCTGGTCCTACTTTGCAGCTGACTGACTTCTCATGGAGGGGTGTTATTTACGAAATCGAGAGGACGAAAATCGAATGTCCGGCGCTTTAACCAGGTTAATAGACACAGAGGATCCACCTGAAGGGGTTGGAAAACCCTGATTTAAAACCAATGGTGCTTATTGGTACAGTATATGAAGTGATATAGGGAATTCGTAGTGATATTAGTACGAAGATACGTTTTGAGTACTGACTTTGAGAGAACATTACTAGCTCAGAAAATTATAAAGTGATTAACTCATACTAGCCTCATGACCAGGTCGGACTAAATAAACCAGTATTTTAATTTCCCGTATTACAGTGATTCCTATATAAGCATACATATCTTTTTAAATTTCAGGTTGAAAAGCTAACTAATGAATATTCTATTTATTTAACTAAAGATGGACGTATTAGTATTGCTGGCTTATCATCTAAAAATGTCGACTACTTAGCTCATGCTATACACCAAGTTACTAAATAATAACAAGTGTTTTTTCTTTCTGTTTGCTAATTTATATACAACATGATGGATTTATTTCAGTAATGTCTCAACGTTCTACTTTTATTCATTCCTGATTGTTCTGTGTATGAATGGTAATATGTACCATTATCACACATATTTTTACTTGCCTGATCATGTTTTTTGGTTTTAAATATACGTGATCACTTTATTGTAAACGATCAGTGTAAACCATTTACAAATAATTGTGATTCATTTTCTTCTGTCTGTACCTCCTATGTCGGGTTGAGGTTTGTTGCTCTTTTACAGCTACATTCCTAAAATATGTGAAAAAGTTGACGGTATTGTTTCATACATTTGGTCCCCTTTATCATCTTGAATAGAGCATAAACAAAGAATTGAGCTCAATTTTTTGTTCTTGCTTGCTTATTATCATCGTATTTAAAAATTTAAAATTTCAAAGGATATAGGTTTTAAGTCAAAATCAATTTACGAGTACTGAATGATTAACGCCTAACGATCACCCACCACGGCGCAGGATGTTGACTAGTGTAGTTGGTTGGAAGAAAGCTAGGAGCGGGGAAATCAAAACATGAGGTCAATCTATGAAGTCACTGACTGAGCCATTTACGCAAGTTCAGACTACTTGGTTGGGGTTCCGCTTGATAACTACGATTCTTGGTTGAAGACTTTGAATGAAAACATGACTCAGAATTAATCCCAACAGCGCTGATCCATGTATACTTTATCTTTATTTCCAGTATTTCTTCATACATATCGTTTCCATTGTTTTCTCAAATTGTATTTTCAATATTTAATCTTCCTCGCTATCATCATTTCTACTCCTTTCCTATTCGTCACGTCAATATGGTTATGGTAAGGAAATTGAGCTAACACATATTTGTGCCAGGCTTTATGTCGATTATGAATAACCGACTGGTTTCTTGATCTGTAACTTTTAAAAAGTATATATGTGACAAAAGATGTAGAACATAAAAAGCTTTTCATTTAGTGGGTTTGTAGGTCCTTAATATTTATCAACATGTTCACTAAATATAACAATGTAGTTAACTCTAGTCGTTAAGAATTTTTAAATCCTCAAAATTAGTTAATAATTATTTGCTATTTACTTACAATAATGTATCGAGCTGGATCATAGCGTAACTTACTGTTTTGATCGTATATATGCAGTAGAGCGATGGCTCTGTAATAAGACATTGATTAAGTGGTAGTGATGTGGAAATTTTTTCCCTAACTTGTCTATCACTAATTTATTCTCCAGTTTTGTCATATCTAACTTTTCACTCATCACTGTGTCATTCATTCCAAGTTCCAGTAAATCAATTTGATGCACCATTATTTTGTTTCATCCAATCATTACATACAAAACTACTTTCTATTCTTCACTAATTAGTTGAGTTACTGACCATGTCGTCTAGTGATACTCTTTATACCGTCAATTAAACATATTGTGCATGTAGTAGTTAACATATCCCCAAATGGAGTTTGTTTGCGTTTTGATCATCGTTTATAGGGTTAACACGTTAGCAAATGCCGTAATACAGACCGGTCTATGATCATCATATGGATAATGTAGTTTAGACTGATGCAATGATGTGCTTTTTAGAGTTCTCTTGATTGACCTTAATAAAAAGTTATGACGTTTGATTATGGCTTTTGGGTGACATGTTTTTCAGTTTGAGAATTGAAATGATTGCCAAAACCATCAGTAAGTTCATACGGTTTTGTGTATTATCATTGAGTGCCTATCAGACACCAAATATAACAATGCTTACCACATATCATACCTCTAATTAATGTTTGCAAACTACACATTAATGAAATTCTTATTATCTACTTTTCAAACGTTGAGCAACTGAAACAATTTCACCTTAAATCAAATGTCAAATTTGGCTTTAAACTCAAAAATAACACAATTACGGGATAGAATTTCAAGCGTTAGTTTTCGATTGTCGTCATATTTACCCAATAGCAACTCAGTAAGCTTTTTCTATTACCGCGAAAGTTCATTCATTATTGCTGATAAGATAATCCCAGTCAAAATATTCTGCATCGTGGGAATATTGGTACATAACATGAGAATAGACACACTCGCCCGAATGTTTAATAAAAACTTAGATATCAGTAACACAAAAGTGTACTGATATGAAAAAATCAGAGTAGGAAACAGTCTGTTTATAATGAATTAGTCCTGTCAAGTGGTTGAATGTAGTCGGCAGGAAACTGCTTAGTCTATATTCCATACCAGTTAGCATTCGTCGGAAAAGCGTATCTTTAATTTCACACGAACTGATTCGCCCAGTGAGATCTGTACACGGGTCACGAAGTTTTACAATCAAGAAATGTTACCAGCGAGTTATTTTTGCCACGCCCAAACATCAGTATGGTTCACGCAATGTTGCATCAGACTAGTGCATCAACACAACAACTTGTTCAGTAGGATTTAATTAGCACTATTGGATTAGACAAACATAACATTGGTCATTACTCAATGACTAATACTATTATTAGATTAGCCCATCATATGTGATGCGTTCGGTTGTCTCTTTTCACTCACTGACAAATTGCAGCTTAGATTGTCTAGATAAATTACACTTAAATCCCACGAAGTTGTGTAATCGTATTACCGATAAACATTATTTGGAAGATCAAAACAACTGTTTGGTTGACTTTACTGTGGTGAATAAAAGACCAACATTGTGAAGTTGATGAACAGAAAATCTGTACAAGATATATTTAATTTGTTTAATTACAATATTGTTTTTATGCAAACAAAAGGATAACGAAGACAAATTAAATACATGTCACAAATTAAGCTAAGTAGTCATTTGTCTTATCTTCTTCCGGATCTTCTTCTAACTCATCAGAATCCATATCAAGGTCTTGATCAATTTTATCATCATAATCTGAGTTAACTACAACAGTATTTACCGGTTGATCATCAAATGACTGGTGATCACTATCTACTGGGTTATCTAATTGTCGATTGCGTATCTGACCTTTGTGCCGTCGATTCACAAAGACTGCCACAGAAGCACACGAACTTTCACTACGATGAGACGAAGGTACTGAATCATCGGTGGAACTTGGTGATTCATCTGTATCCGGCGCGTAAAAACAACTCTCTAGACGCACTTCAGGTTTTTGTAGATTTTCTTCAGTGAGACGAGCCCGTTTTCTACCTCGTGTTGGACGAAACAATATTCGATTGTTATGACGCGGATTTGTTGAGCCGACCTCATCATTTTGTACAGTTTCTGTGCTGTCTCGAGATTGTCGGAGTTCATTTATTAAAGCCATAGCGAGTGAGTTATTACTAACATCAGGATCTTCATTAACATCAGCTAAACTATAATGTGTCCATTTACTAGGATCTCGATGTACATAGTTTGGTCGGCGATGTGTTGATGGTGGGAGGGCGTTAGGTTTTCGAAAATTTGAATTTTGTGTCTGACATGTTCCATGCTCCTTACCACTAGCTGTTTGAACATGATCGCGCTAAAAATAAAATATAGCTTAAAGGAGAGAGAAAACATTTACAAATATCAAAAAATTATCTGTGGATTAAACAGTAAAATCTAGTTCGTTACGATACAACAACCGAACCCAAGCAGTATTCATTCAAATAGATATATTCCAAAGCTTATTATTGTATTTTAATACAAAATATTTGGTCGCAATTAGCACTTGACCGATTAATGATTCAACAAAAACATTGTATGAATGGCCTGGTTTTTTATTGACACATCGGATAGAGGGTTACACAGCTGAAATAATTATTCATTTTATACACTTCATATTTGTCTACAACGACTATAACTAAATAATAAAATTAAATATCAACATCAAGTAATTTCTCATTGTTCATGGAACATTAATTTTAGTCAAACAACCATTGAAAATCAAAAGGTACCAGATGGATGTTTAATCCTCAGCATTGCGTATCTACAAATCCATCAGGGATTGAATGCTTTACATATCGTAATTTAATAATTCTGCGATAGTGCGTAACTGCCTCAAACTTGATATATAGTTGAACTCCATAGGTGATGGTTCCTCACTAACACTCCGAGTGCCTCTTGAAATCAATCACTAGCGGTGAGTACATAATTACAATTAGTGTTAGGATGTGGGTCTTGTTTGATTTTATAGTTTGCATCACGGATTGACCTTGGTTCGATGGCAATTGAAAACGGGGTAATGACGGTCACAGTGATTTTACAACTCAAAATGTAACGTTCCTCAGTCAAACAAGAATTAATGAGAACTTGCCAATGTTTTAATTCGTCAGCTAACATTCTGGTTTCTGTTCAGTTTAGGAACATAAATTATTGCAAAGCACAACTACACAGACGAACGTTTGTGAAGTTCCAAACTCTACATTGTTGGTTCATCGTATATTATGGAGTTAGTCACAATCAACACAGTTGACAACAAATTTACATTAATCCACGTTCCTATTACCACAACGACATGAAATTAACAACACACACAGGATAAGTATTGAGTTAATCTCAGTAGCAATGAGAGACAGAACAGAGGAGAGTATGGAAAGACACTAAACTCAAGATTTAGAAGACAAGAAATCAATCTGTCTACTATGTGCAACGGGTTATGCGCTATGGAACACAGTCCAGTCCCAAGAAATTGGTTACAATTATTTCACTGGCTCTAATTACATGCCTACCACTTACCAAAGTAATTTAGATCAACAATTCAATAACTAAACAGACTGATGCTTCTTTGGTTTGACAATAACTTTTCTCAAACCTATCCCTACTTTAATCTATCATCGCACATCAACGTAGCCAGAAGTAGAGCATGCACAACATATGTCCCAGCACCCTCAGATGACAAGGCTTTTCTACCTAACAAACTAACATAGTTGAATATGAATGTCCTCTACTTTTGAAGGTTATGACACTAGACATTGAAGTGACGTGCAATATATTTACCCTTTAAAAGACGGACGAATGTCTTACCGACACTATAGGTGGCGTTAGTTTGTAACAGCCAATAAGCAATAATATTATTAATGTACTTTGCGAGTTTCAGGAAATTTCCAGACGACAAACATGCAGCGGAATCTCTTAGTTTAGTTTATACTACTTGATTGATTGGGATTATCTCAAAAAGTCAGACTCCAAACGTAAGAATTAAATTTTTATAGAGAATCTAAACTACCATGCTGACATGTGTACCATAAGATTTACGGATATTAAATAAGGGAAATATAAAATGGTTTGAAAAGTATGGAGAGTTAAACTGTAGCATATTTTTACACAGTCGTTTAAAATGGTGTCCTATAATAGATTGTATCAAATTATTTTGTCTTCTCGTATGACTCAAGTTTAATAAAGCGAATAAAAATTAGTAACTCAGCATAAATCTTGAAATAAAAAGTGAACTGATCTATGTTATCGAATAACAACGTCAGATAGATTTTTGTGATTTAACGAAGACATCATATACGGAAGCTATATAGATCCTGATATAAGATATACAACCGATGAACTGATAAGTTGACCTGATGGTTTTAAATAGTTATTCTAGGAGTTCCTCTTTTTTTCGGTAAGTCATTCGGTTATAATAAAAACATAGAACCTGGCATATGTGCAGTGGTTTAAGAGTTCCCAAATCGTATACCAGCACATCGAGTTAAATATCAGAGTAGTAGTAACAGTATCAATGGTAGTAGCATGAATTAGAAATGAATTAGGAAATGAATGAATTCGCAGAATAAAAAAAGTATCGGATAATTTTAAGACGAAGAACCTAAGGATGCAGAAAAAGTGGATGTATCTGAGGTATTTCTATCGACTATGAGCCATACCGCTCAAAGTTAATTACCATTAGTTATGATAATCAAGCTGATCGTAACCAGGTAGTCTGCACCAATCTACGCCGCTCGGTTCAAAAATCAGTTGCCTTATGGACTAATACCACATCTTGTTTTTATATGTTCTAGATTTCTTCCAAACTCCGCCTGTAGCTCTTCTAGGGCTACTGCCCGTCCCAAGCCCGGGTAAAGGAGGAGGGTCGGGCGTGGGGTCAGCATCTCCATCCCGTGGTAAAGCTTGCTAAAAAAACGCTGACGAGAATAGCTTTCTTCTAATTCGCTCCTGAGTCAGTAGATATTGTGTGTCGAGGTAGGTAATGGGTTTGGTTATCAGTCGATCAAAGAATTTTAGGCTAAGTAGGGGTATAATTCAACACACTTCTCAAATAACACCAAACAATAAAACCTAAAACGCGAAAATGTAAAACACTTACACGTTCTTTCAACTCTGCTAAATTTTCTGGGGCAGTAATTGTATGGCGCCAAGCTGCCTTACGCACAGCTTTACGTTCTTCTTTTGTAGCCTTGTACACTTCAAGATGAGCTGCTTCTAGGCTAGCTAGTGCAGAAAAAACGTCTGATTGCCTTTGACGAAAAGTTTCATTTGAACCTTCAATAGGAGTAAGAACCTTAGTTGAGGAAATCGACGGGAATTTCTCCGGATGTATTTCATCATCATTACTAACAAGATGACCCATAGAACAAGACATCTGATCAGATAGTGGCTCCTGTGTGTGAAATAATTTAAGAAAATCAGTGGTGTAACAAACATTCATGCTTGGGAACATTAAAAACAAATTCAATTCGCGATGGTAACATAAGATTAACTTCTAGATATTCTTCTACTAGGAGCTCACTAAAGTCATGGATTTCTAATAATTTTGTATTTTAATTTTAAAACACTTCTATATTGATGTAATGTCCAATACGAAAATATAGATAATATTAAAATAAACTTCAAGATGGGAAATCTTTTTCCAAGAATTCATGTAATATACGGGGTGATTACAATGTAACGTTGACATTGGAATTCAAGTAACAAATAATTAAGATGAGTAGCAGTTCAGTGATTAAAGTATTCAGTTTCCAAATACTAAATCGTGGGTTTGAGCTTCACTCCGTCTATTCTGGATCGGATGTTCGGGTAGTTGATTTGACTTTGTTAACTCACTAGGTACTTGAGTATTAGCCGCAATAAGTGTGAAGGCTAATGATACCTCTCAGAAGGACAAATTGAAGTAGGTAGAGTGGTGTTCGAACTTGGGACTTAGTGGCTAAAAGACCGGGTATTATCAATATCCTTTATGCTTAGAAGGTGGATTGAAGTATATAAACCGGTATCCAGCAAATGAGTGCTCATCAAGACAGTCCTAACATTTTTTCAATTCCTGAAGTTCATTTGATCGAGATAAAAGAATAAAATGGTCGTCTCAACTACGGTGATAAACCTATTTAACCTTTATACCACTGAGCTGGTGATAAACAATGGTTTACATTTCTTACATCAATCAATTCGCATTATTGAGAAAATATCTTCCAATGGCAGATAACTGCCCTACACCCGATATGGTTGAATTTCACTGGTCATGACTTCTCACTAGAACTATTGGAAATAACTCTCTAACCAGTGAGCGTAAAAATCTATAATCACTGACTTATGTCAACTAGAGAATTACCGAAAAGCAGGAAAAATACGGGACAACCACGTTATTTTGGTTCAATAATCCTTGGTGGATTGCACTGGTAACCAGACATGCATACAGAATCATAGACAGTGAGGGTTACCAGTTACTGGTAACATTTGATGTTTATCGTACTATATTATGAGTGGATTGAAGTTAGAAATTCTAAACTACTATATTGCATAACTCAGCAACTAAATAGTATCGCGCCTTTTGTATTGCGAAAATACGAGGATGTGAGGACTGAACAACAATGAGAATTTTTAAATTGGGAGTAAAACAGCTGCTTAGTCTTGTTTAGTTGGTTTTCTTTTAAACATTATTTTGACGTTATTATTTCATTTCACTATTGAAAACCCCATTTTCAGATTAAATAAACTTCCACCAGATACCTAACGGGAGTTTATCCTGTTCTTATCCGTTAGAAGGTAATGTACAATTTAGGATGATATCTCTCAAAATGACAACTGTATCTACCGTGCCTCGACCTGAGGTAGGCTTTGCAGCGGATACGTCAACGCAGCTACGACCGACTGTTATCTCGCGAACCTCAATCAATAAACATGGACCTCGCTACACAGTTTATATCGATGGATTGGTGACTTTAATAACTAACATCCTTCAATGATCTGGAGACTAATAGCCTTTTTTAACTATAGTCTGAGCTAGCCAGTATAGCACAATGATTTAGATGTTTGGTAGATTATGTATCACAAAACGATGTCTGTTGTAGTTAAAATATCATTCATACAAATACAGACGAACTTTTTGTAAAAACAATAGGTGACAGGTAAAGTTTGATATTTCACTGCTAAAAAGATATATACAAACAAAAAAAATTTTAGTAACGAGATGGAGGGGCAAAGTCTGCAATTCGCTTATCACGTTCTTCTTGAATGTAACGCTGTGCTGAAATCATTGACTTTCCTTTATCCCATTCTCTTTGTTTACTACCGTAGGATGGACGGCTTGGATTTTGAGATGCTAGTACATCAGCTAAATTTGTTCTATGTTCAGGCTCAGGCTCAGGAGGGATACTGTTTGTCGATTCACTCAATTTACTATTATTGATAGCAGCTCTATGTTCAGCTTCATCGCGTAATCTACGCAACATAGACGCAACATCTAGATCATCGTTACTCAGACGAATATCAGATTGGGCATCTGCACCTATTGGAGTAGGTGTTGCAGGAACTGCAGCCTCTCCTAGACACTGTGCAGCAGCAGTTGCTACATCTGGTAAACCTTTACGAGCACGCAAGCGTGCAAGACGTTGACCCATTTTAGCATCTCTTTTCGCTCGAATCGCTTCAGCTCGAGCACGTCCTTCTTCAGTAGCCCGATGAAGTTCTCGTAAGCGATTCATTTCAGCCTCTCTCTGTTCAAGATCTGTAGAAAAAGAATAGAATCCAACACCATGATCGCGTATTTCTCCTTCTCTCAAATGTGCATATGTGAGTGGACCATCTGGTTTAGGTGGACTAGACTGCTTCATGTGACTAGACAGGTCTTTGCGCATACAAACTCGTTTGACACCACGTTCATCTGTATAATCCTCCCATTCTTCATCACTACAACCAGCGGGATAATTATCAGAGTCGTCATCACTAGTAAAAGAAGAGCAAGAACGCGTAGGAGAATCCGGAGGAACTAAATTTAAATTTTCTGTGGCTTTTTGTTCAAAATCAACCAGAATGTCTCCATCATTTTCATCTCTCTTTGTCAAATTAGGTTTCTTTCCAGACATTGCAGCTTCTCGTAGAGCATCGTAGAGTTTTGCTTTAGCTTCTAATGCTCTTCTACTTTTTTCCCATTCTGCATACTCTTCAGCATCGGAGGGTATGTTTTCAGATTCCAACCTTGTACGCTCTTCTAAGATTTGTTCTTTTGAAGTTTTCCACAGTGATACTTTGCCAGGTTTTAATTCAGCAGAACGATTCCTTATCACATTACAGCCATCTGGATGTTTCTCAACTCTTTGTTTAACTTCAATTTGTCTTCTTGATATTTCTGCTTTTAAGTCTACCAGTGCAACTGAGCTTACTTCAATATGATGTCTAGATTTATAAGCCATTACCTGTAAAACGTATCAATCAGAACAAACAATCAACTATTTTTAAAGACACACAGTGAGATTTTATTGTTAAAAAAGTATTTATTTGTTTATTATTTATTTGAACACATAAATAGTGGTACAAAGGGGCACCGAAAACATATGCGCCACACAAGTCACTTGATCTATGGATCGTCCACATCCATCAACCCGGTCAAAGTGCCGAACATTCGCTTTTCGTCCTCTCAATGTAGTAAACAACACCACCGCCGTTAGAGGACAGTGAATAGGACTTCCTTGGCAGTGACTGTATACGCGCCGCATGTTGATTTTGGCAATCAGATAGTATCGCCAGCCCTTGAATTTAGTGTCGCTAATAACTAACTACCTGGCACATATATATTTGGTGCCCTCTTGTACCAATATTTATGTGTTCAAATAAATAAATAAAATTACCTGGCAAACGAATTAACCTATTTTTCCTTACTTAGTGAGGATGTATGAAACAGATTTTCCTACAAGTCTTAAAAATGTAATTAAATGTTAAGAAGGGGTAATTACATAGTATAAATTACATATCGAAACCACTGCCCACCAACATCAAAGACAGAATCTTCGATACAAACTTTAAGACAGTACTAGTGTACGGAGCTAAAACTTGGAGGACTACTACAACCATCATCAAGAAGGTACAAGTATTTATAAATCGTTTTCTACGCAAGATACTCAACATCCTTTGGCCGGATACCATCAGTAACAGCCTACTGTGGGAGAGAACAAACCAGCTTCCAGATGAAGAGGAAAGTAGTTAAAGTTGGAAGTGGATAAGATATATATTACGGAAATTACTAAACTGCATCACGAGGCAAGCGCTAACCTGGAATCTTGAAGGGAAAAGGCCGAAGGACACACTACGTCGGGAATCGGAAGCAGACATGAAATGGATGAATAGCAACTGTAAATAATTGTCCAGGACAGGGATGGTGGGCGGCTTATGCTCCTCCCCGAGGAGTAACAAGCGTATATGAGCACAAGTTACATATAATTGTTGTAGACGTTTTATTTTATGATATTGTAAATGCGTACATAAAGAAACTTATAGATTGCTTAAAGTTAGTTTAATGTATACAAACTTGACTGGTAATTAGTGTAGATCGCATAAAATTTAGTGTATTTGGACATGTTTTATTTGTTTGTGTTAAATAAATATTTAACGTCTTTGTGTTTTGGTTTAATTCGTGCGACTCTAAGGTTTGAGTGGTCAATATCAGTCATCTACCGTTACAACGACTGTCAGTGTTTTCGAATAAGAAACAAATTTTTATCTGGATCAGTTTTTACGTTCTTATTTATGTCAAAAAATATAGTGGTTTCCAGTTATCAAGTACCTACAGTGATTCTTTTGACTGCAACACTTTACTATCAAAACATACAAGTAATTTTGTATGAACAAGTTATATACAGCTTGGATCTATCTTAATTTTTGGAAATTGAGAACTTGCATTAACGAGTGATCATCTGACTTATGTTGACTAGACTTCTAGGTAGACTAAATTTCGAATAATTCTGAGGTCACAAGGTCCTAAGTACAGATAATAAGGCGACAAGTGGCTGGGTATGATAGAAGTAGGCACAGAAAAGCTAGGATTTGCAGACGTAAGTCGTCTTTAGTTCACGAAGTCAGCGTTTTTCAACTTGAACTATGTCAAGAACGATATTTCCTAGTTGGATGTCATGTGATAATCCTAACCTGAAGTTAAAGAGCTCAGGTGACAAGAATAAAAATCACTTCCGGCGGTGTGGATATTATTTATCATTTTACTCATTCCTCTGAAACTACACTCCCTATATTTATCTTTTTCAATTATCGACAGTTCTAGTCATTATTTTGGGCTAGGACAGCTTTGTCCCAAGCCCTATTCTCGTTATGATCGAGTGGTTTGCTTTTATGTTATTTACAGTGTTGACATGCAGTGTGTTGACTTATATTGGTACTCGCACTAAAGATCTTAGGTTGCCTATGACTGATCATAAAGATGAATAATGAGTACCTGACAATCTTGATGAATGATATGTGATGCAGTCATTTTATAAAATAGCACACCATGAATTTTAATATGATCAAAATTATCTAGGAAAACAACAATCGCTAGTGCAATACACCTCTTGATGACATCCTATGTCAGGAACATGTATATTGATAGATTTAGCCGGAAAGTTCTTCACCTCGAGATACGTGGATAGGTATATCCATGTACTAGGATTTGAAAGATAAAGATACTCAACAGTTGCTTGCTAGACCCAAGACCACCTTAGTCTCTCTAGCTTAAGTGTGAAGCGGTAGCTTAGTGGCTATAGCAATTACCTTGGATAGTTGGACCACTGGGAAAAATTTTAGAGGTCATAAGAATAACTGACCTAAGATATTACGTAAAACTCACGAGGCGAGTGGCAATCCAATCTGTAGATTTTGTTCCTGAACGGTTTAAAAATGTTATGAGTTCCAGTATTTATTCCATGTATCATCTGTCTGGATCGTTTCGCTAGATTCTGCATTCAATTCAGATTTTACTTGGTTATCCTTTTTAATTTAACACAACTTGACACCACGTAAGTACCTAAGCTATATTAATAACACCAGTTGACACGATTTTAGAACAGTCAGAAATCAGATTAAAGAGAAAGAAAGTAGGCGTGAGTAGAAATACAAAAAAATTATGCTAATAAATATCATTGCATAATTTTCGTTTTTATTGGCAAGCCAAGTCTTTATATTTCAGGGTTTCTCCAAGTCCTGTTTGACAACAGTGTCTAGAATGGTACGCGCATAGCACTTAATACCAGATAAGCCCGAAATAATTCACTTTGCTGAAACAGCGCATTACAAGTCCGGATATTCCGACTAGTGGGTTGGCAGAGTTACCCAACTTGTTAAAGAATCTCAATCATTTAATCAAAACTTCCAAAAAACGCCCAGAAGAGGCCATTAATTATGTCTTGAGTTACAACCTATGGTACTGAATATTGAGAATATTCCCAAAGTCCATTTGGAATTGAATGGACTATTGTCCACTCAAATGAAACAGACTTTATATATATATATATATATATATATATATTCTGTTTCATCCGAGTGTTGTAAAGTAGAGTATCCGATCAAACAACTGCCCATTTAATTAGCAGTTTTTTAGGTAGAGACCGAACATAAACATAAATGCATATTGTTTGGATAAAAACAGGTAAAACGTGTTATCCTAATTGTTGGAGTTTGGATGGAAATGTATATTCTTCTCTACCGCGGTTGTTTAACGCAGGAAAGATGACGTTTTGATGTTATTTAAGTTTGCGATCAAACAGTATACACACTTTCAAGTCCCATAGTTTGAAAATAACGTAACAAACAAACCCGAAACTACATCAAGTGGCGCAAAAGTTGAGAGTACCGCGTCTAAATGGTTCAAATGGTTCAAATGGTTGTGGACGGAATAGAAGCTTTCGCTTAACAGGCTTCCGTGTCTAGTAGCAGGGGATCACCAAATCCTCCAGGCAGGAACCTAGGTATGTTAACAATAAAAGAGGAAAAGAGATTGGTAAATCATAATGTGATGCTGTTCTAGGTCCTTAAGAAAAGGTCAAGTTGCCTCTTGAAGGACTCCTGAGAAGTCGCTTGGACTAGCTCGGCTGGCAGCGAATTCCAGATTTTGACAACTCTTAAGGAGTAGAAATTGTGTCTACATTCCGTCTTGCTATGTTGTGCTTCCAGTTTCTGGGTGTTACCCCTTAGGTTGTTATTCGAACTAAGCTTAAGTAGGTGTTTAAGAGGATGTCCAGAAGTGTTAAGAATACTATAAGCCGTTAATAAATCACCTCTAAGACGCCTATATTCTAATGGGTAAAGGTCTAGTGAACGGAGGCGTTCTTCGTAAGGCTTAGATTTGAGTCCTCGAACTGATTTCGTGGCTCGCCGCTGGATACGCTCCAAAGTAACCTTGTCCTTTTGGAGTGAGGGGGGAGTACTATGTTTCCGTACTCTAAATGGGGACGGATGAAACTATTGAAGATTGTGTGGAAAGTTCTTCCGTCAAACTGGCCAAAAATGCGCCTCAACGTTACCAGTGCAAGGTTTGCTCGGAAGGCATTTTTGTCACAGTTGGCGTAAGACTTCAAATCATGGGGCAACAGGACTCCTAAACCTTTTTCGACTTGGGATACTACTAGAGAGGAGTTTCCTAAGTTGTAACTGTAGTTTGCAACATGTCGCAGATGGACTACTTTACGCTTTGAAGTGTTAAAGGTAAGTCCGTTAAGATGTTTGAGGACGCAGTAAAGCGTTCGCGTAGCAATCCCTCACATCCAATGACAGGTGATCGTCAGTGTGTTTATTTAGACTTCAGGTATATGATAATTAATAATAGCAATCAGCTTTTGTAAATTAGAACTACAACTTTGGTAGAGTGGGAAAATTGTGCTCTTTGGGATCTGAACCCTGGTAGTTCGAGAGAGATATTAGTTATAGGGGAGTATTGTTCATGTCGTGTTTCCTCTAAAAAATAAAGGGCAAGATAATTTGATTTATATTAAAGTTGGTCGAGGAGCGAAGTCCTGTAACAACTCAGGTTAATTGATTAAGATTAAGCCATAAACATCTAAGTGATGTCAAAACATTATGGCTCAAGAATTCATTCACTTCCGTGTCTTACATAAACATTAAATCTATTACTTTATGCCAGGTGCTGAAAAATCTCGCGCTCCATTGTGTTCTGTATGACGATCTAAATAACGACTTATTCACAGCTAGTCTGTTTTCTCCCATCAATAAGACGAGGGGTACTCAGTGGCACGAAAGCTACATCACGATAGCTTTCTATCAAAATTTTCATAACATATTGATTCTGAAGACGATAACATTGCACGGGTTTTTTGCGACTTTTTCTCATTCCACTTTGAGTGGATGTCCTCTTGAGTATGAATTACTAATGTAATATTTCATTGATCTAATCGGGTGAGAAATGTGAGAAATTTGATATGTAGATTACTAATGGAGGGGATCTATTTGGATGTCCACGGTCAACGTGAATTGAGTGGGGATGATGTTAAGTCGTGAAGAATTATGGTCTACTATAGTATTAGTGCTGCTCTAATAATAGACCTAATCCGAAATTTGTAGATTTGTCATGATATAACTGCCTAATCTATAAGATCTTACGTGGAAGTCACACCATCGACTACGCCAACTCACTGTATCGTATCAATTACCAAGAAATGATGTAGAACAAGGTTAGGCTAGAGAAAGAACAATATATTTAATATGAATAGAAGATATAAGATAACATTCAGCAGGGACCACGCCTGCATGGCCGAGCCATGCCGTTTGATCAACTCTAATTCATTCAATTCCTTGTTCGCGCCTTCTCCATCGTTAGGTATTTCTCCGCGTTAAATAGTGACTATCTATTTTCCGAGCAATCTCGTATCCAGCTTTAAAGATTGTGTGGTTATTGTCCAATGCCACTACAGTCACACCTCAAGATCAGAACGTAATATGGATTACTGCTTCTTGGTGTCCGGGTAAAGTGGCTACTTTGATATCTATATCGAAAAAACATTACAATACTTGTAGCCTCCAGATGAAATAAGTTTGGAATGATAAATAACTGTCTAGGTTAGTTTAGGTACACGCTATAGCTCAGTTGAAACTAAGACAAGGTGATTGAGCAAATGACGGTTCTAGATTTTATTATAAATATACAAGTACAGCGTTACCTAGACAAGTATTGCTGCCTAGTTATTCAACCAACAATTGTTTAATCAATAGACAAATCAAGTGCAACAAATAAACGTAGTTCAGGAACTACATGAAAATTCCTCTGACGATCCCATATAATTATAGATGTGGGTTAAGAGTATCTAAATGAGCTGAGTAGGGTTTGTTTCCTAATCCGAATACTTTTTGGTTGCTCTTCTTGACATGTATTTCAAGGGAGTAACATACTTCTTCGCGTTATCTAGTTTGTGCTCTTTATTCACACATACCTTGTTTTTTCTCCGGGTTTCTAACCTCTCAACAGTGTTCAACTCCCCAATGTTCTTGGGTTTTTTACAACCGTTTTACTTTTGCCTTACACTACATTATGGCGACTCCCATATTTGCTGATTGTATTCTTGGTTGTCTGATAAAACCGACCAAACCAATCACTAGCAGATAAAATCTTTGTTTCCCATTTATAAAAATTATTGTTTCTCACAGATGATTTATTACATGTTTCTCGTATTTTTGTATATATATTACATGTGACATGACGCAGTCACAGCAGTCAACCATAGGTCATGACAATCACTTACTTACTTATGCCTGTTACTCCTCGTGAAGGAGCATAGGCCGCTCATCAGCACTCGCCATCCAACCCTGTCCTAAACACTTCTTTCCAGCTCCTTCCAGTAGTGATTCATTCTTTTCCTATTTGTTGTTATTTCACGACGTAATGTGTTCTTTGGCCTTCCACTTTTCAGCTTACCTTCAGGATTCCAAGTCACGGCTTGCTTCGTGATGCAGTCTGATGATTTCCGTAATATATGTCCTATCCATTTCCATCGTCTTTTCCTAATTTCTTCTTCAGCTGGAAGCTGATTTGTTCTCTCCCACAAAAGGCTGTTGCTGATGGTATCCGGTCAATGGATGTTGAGTATCTTGCGTAGAAAACGATTTATAAATACTTGTACCTTCTTGATGATGGCTGTTGTAGTTTTCTAAGTGTCATCTCAGTACAGTAGAACTGCCTTGACACTCTTATTGAAGATTCTCACTTTGATATTCGTTGAAAGTTGTTTTGAGTTCCATATGTTCTTCAATTGTAGGAATGCTGTCCTTGCTTTGCCAATCCTTACCTTTACGTCTGCGTCCTAACCTCCATATTCATCAATGATGCTTCCCAGGTATGTGAAGGATTCTACATCTCCCGGAGTTTCGCCGCCAAGAGTGATTGCGTTACTGTTCTCCGCTTTGAAATTGAGGACCTTGGTTTTCCCGTTGTGTATGTCAAATGAATGAACTATTTGCGTATTTTATTTTAATGTCTCTTTGTTCATGCTACTTTGTTTTTCCTGTGACTGTTTCATTATATATATTTTTTTAAGCATTTTACCGTATTGTAAATATCGTATTAGGCCATTCTCAATAAAATTTGTCTTAGGGCAGCTGACGATTATTATCTCCCTTTTATGTTTGCAGTAACTTTATGCTCTACCCTGATTGATAATTTAGTACACACCTCAATTTTATTGGTCGTTTTAATGATAGTCAATTAATGAAAATGCTCATAAGACCTGAGAATTCAATAAACATATAACGTGTGTTTTAAATGAAAGGCAATTCAAAATTTTTGGCATTATCAAGATGATGCAATACAGTGCATAGAGATGAAATGTTTTACACTCAATAACAGTCTCAGGTTCGAATCTCGCGAGGCGAGATCTTGAATGCACAATTTATCTCCCTGTCCTTCCCAACTACTGCTAAACAAATTTCATATCTCTTTGAAACACAGTGTAAGCTTTGCGGTCGATACTAGTGCATATAATAAGTTTCCTTATTTCTATAGTCTATTTCGTTTGAACGCACTACATCTTGTCCTACGGATTTACCGCTGTGTTCGTAAAGGAAATACGTCACAGGGTTTTCTCGTCTATTGGTTCACTTTTATAGTGACTCCTTTACCTAATGCATTAAAGTTCAGATAATGTTACACAATCAAAATGGTCAGAGTATGTACAATCGTCAGTCGTTGCAGCCAGAGAAAGAATACGGTTACCTCGGTGTTTCTGGTCAGCACGTTTATGGTGCTTCTAACACAAATGTGACAGATACTTACCCGCAAGGTCATCCTAACAGCAGCTTCCAGCCACCACCTAACTACTATTCTGGAAATCAAGGACAGGCCTTCCAACCACAATCTCAGCCTCCATATTATTCCGCTCAGTCAATACAGAGTGTGAATCAACCACCGTTGCCACCCATGCCTCCTATCCCAAACCATCAGGATTTTACTCAACGTCCTCAGCAGCCGCGTCTTCCTCCAATGCCACCAATGCCTCCGGGACATGAAGGAGTTCCACCACCCAGTTATCGACAACCTCAACCTCCAGGTCCGTTTCCATTGCCAAATGGTGCTAACACCCAGATAAATACATTACATTCTCAACAGGCATATCAAAACGGTCCAGTATCCAGACAACCACAGTTCTCTCAAAGTATAAATGCAGATAGATTACCCAGTCCTATCGAGGTATTCAAATTTCATAGTTTCTGTTTTATAATTATTAGTAAATCTCATGGTCCAACATGTTTATTATGCCTCATGTACCGTCAACATTTAGACACTTTCCCGTTTATAGTGGTGATATATATCGCTAAGTGGGGGGGATACCGGGGCAAATTTACATAGGAATGTGATTTTGGAATTTTCATTTATTATTCAGATTCAGATTCAGATTTGTGTAGTAAGGAGAGAAGGCCTACGGCCTATGTTATTCCTTTTCTAGTATGCTTCTGTGAGTGTCCAGTCTTCTCTTGAAAGAGTCAATTGAAGGTGCGGACACCACTGCTTCAGGCAGCAGGTTCCAAGTATTGATGACTCGGTGTGAAAACCTGTATGCCACGGGTATTTTGTTCGTTCTTGGCTTTTCTACTCGCCTGCTATGTCCTCTGAGGTGTCCCGATCTAGTGGGAAGAAAGAGAGAGAATAAGTTAGGTCCGAAATCATTTCTCAGTATTCTGTACATCAATATTAGATCTCCCCTTAGTCTGCGATAGGACAGAGTAAAGAGGTTCAGTTTTTCAAGCCGCTCTTTATATGATAAACCTCGGAGTTCCGGAATTGCACGCGTAGCTGCCCTCTGTACCTTTTCTATTATGTCCGAGTCACCTTTAAACAGGGGCTTGCAGCCTGAACACAGTTCTCTAACTTAGTTCTCACTAAGGATGTGTATAATGTGGTGAACATGGTAGTGTCAAGCTTAGTGAATGTCCTTTTTAAAGCCCAGAGGGTTCGAAACCCCTTAACTGCGACCTCCCGGCAATGGGCCGTCGTCTTAAGATCATTGCTCACTGTCACCCCTAGGTCCTTATGAGACCGGACTACGGGTAATGACACATCCCCTATGTTGTACGTATTAACCTTTGAATCCCCCAAGTGCATGTAGACACACTTTTCCGAGTTGATAGGCATTAGCCACTCTTTAGACCAGTTTATCATATTATTTAAGTCCGCCTGAAGAGTAAATGCGTCTTTGTCTCCAGTTATTACTCGCCAAATTTTTACATCGTCAGCGTATAATAACATTGGAGACTGTACTATACTTGTAAGATCATTAACGTACATTATAAAAAGTAAAGGACCTAAGACGGAACCTTGGGGTACTCCACTAAGTACTGGTCTCCAGATGGAGCACTTGGAATTTATTCTTACTTTTTGCCTACGACCTACTAGGAAATCCTTAATCCATTTTAAAAGAGGTCCGGCAATACCAAGGTTTGTCAACTTCAATAGCAGCCTATTAGTTGGCACCTTGTCAAAAGCCTTACTGAAGTCTATGTAGACAACATCCACTGAGTTTCCGTTGTCTAGCGCATTAATCCAGAGCTCCCTAGCTATAAGGAGGTTCGTTGTACAGGATAGACCCTTTCTAAAACCATGTTGTTCCATGTTCAGCAAGTTATTGGTTTCCATAAATGCTGTTATGGTCCGTTTGATTATTCTTTCCAGTATTTTAATTACAACACTGGTGAGGCTTACGGGTCTGTAATTTGATGGAACTTGTCTTGGTCCTGTTTTATGTATGGGAGTGACGATTGCGTCCTTCCAGTCCATAGGTAACACACCTTGGTCAAGTGACATTTTGAATATCACAGTCAGTGGGGCTGCGATATATTGGGCAATATGTCTCAAGATTTTAGGGTGTAGTTCATCTGGTCCTGTTGACTTCTCCATGTTTAGGGTGCTAAGAGCCTTAAGCACATCTGAATCTGAAATCTGAATTATAATTAGTACATACCATGTACATATTTATATTTATATATTGTAACACATTTAGAATCACACACAGTCAGTTTCCAGTTTTAATTGCCCAGTTTCCCTCATTTCACTCGACCTGTAATAACCATCTCATTGAGTATCTTTGATCATCTTGTTCCATTCTGAATGCCATATTTATGGTTTCAATACTGTTTGTTTACAAAAGACGTTTAGTTAATTCGTAGTAAAAATATCCCACCATCACAGTTAATCTTGTTTAGATTTTGAAGCAATGTTTAATACTAATCGTGGAGAAAATAGTCAGTAATTTGTGTTTGGGCACGAATGTACATCATTTCAAGTTCTCACATCACATAAACAAAACAGAAGAAATGTTTGGTGAGATAGAAACAGAAGTGTAACCACTACGACCAACTCAGATGCAAAGCTTAGTGTGAGTGTGTTTGTAAATCAAGTGTGAAGTGATACAAATAGTTGTCATCTAAACCAGGCATCTCGTAACTAGCTTGTTTCACCCTCCCATTTAACTCACAATAGTTGGAACACTATTTAGACCTGTTTTTGTACCTTTTTTTCTTAAGGTGTTCAGAACTTATATGTTTGCCAATAGCTAACAATTATTTCCTAAACGTATACTTGAAATCGTTCCAGAGATCGGTATTTAAATAACCTTAACGTTCAAATGATGACGAATATTCATATAGATAGCCAACCATGTTCCCCGTGCATTTATTGGTTGGCGTAAGGATCTTCACAGAACATGGTTTTTCATTAGTCGATTCGATTTGTAAAAGAGCTTAGTTAAGTAAACTAAATACACAAATGTTATCATTTGAACATCTTGTGCAATACATCGAGACAAAAATAGTAGAGCTAATTTCTCTGGTAAAAATTTAAATAAACAAGATAATTGGGGCAATAAAAGTAGAATAATACGATGTCAAAGGTCAATAAAAATAACCAACCATTACATGATAATGACTCAGACAGTAGCTCATAACTTTTTGTGATGGTTTAACTGTCTCATATTAAAGGGATTTCACTAGTTCTAGCGGATTTATGGCAAAACAACTTTGATATATATATATATATATGGAACTGATCTTCGTCGTCGCAAATGGAATCTATACCTGTTTGTCATAATATGTACTAATATTTCGACTTCAAGTTCTGTGAATCCGAGTGTAATATACTAGGTCCAATGTTTCCTATAATCAACTTCAAAACCTAATAGTAAACTCCTTTTAGTGTGTGCGTATAAGTTGATTATTATTCTGTTGTAAACTTCATTCTGGGCTATATTCACTTAGTTTGGGTATTTTATTTTTACATACGTATTTCTAACAGCTTAATAAAGTGCACCTTTTAAAAACCGGATTATTTTTCATACGTCTTAAGTGTGGTAATTCCTGTAAACTGGGTTAGTCCAGCTTGTGAATAAGAACCTACACGTTTGATTAAAGCACGCAGTGTATATAGTCGTCATTGCTAGTGGACGGTCTAATATTTTGAAGTTAATGTATGATACGAATCTGTGTGGTTGTGTGTGTTGTTGGTATGCACTTAACAAAGTAGATATGTAGTATTTCTATAGTAAACGTTATTAGTAGGAATGGTTTGAAAATTTTATTTAAGTAACTGAAAAGTCTCCAAAAATAATTTTGTCGCATCGTAAGTTGACAGGTGAATGACTTTCTGATATCACTTTCGGCGATTTCGACTTTTTGTTATATGATGTTATTCTTTTCATAAGCTTGTCAGAAAGCTTTGTTACCCCTGGTTATAAATGTTCACTACCATTGATTTTAACCTAACTTACGATTTACCTATACCTTCAATTCTTTTTTTAGGTTATTGAGAGCAATCGGGCTCAGTGTACTGGACCTTTTTATACAGGACAACGAGGTGTTGTGCCTCCTCTAGTCACAACTGACTTTATATCACGTGACCAGGGTACATGTGCACCTTGTTTCATTCGATCTTCTTTATACTCTGTTCCGAATTCATCAGATCTCCTTAAAACTGTTGGGATCCCGTTTTCACTTACAATATCTCCATTTGCAGTACAACATACAGAAGATATGAATGTTGTAATAAGCGATATGGGTCCACAAGTAAGTTGTTATAAAGCAAAACGGTACTGGAATTTGTAACGTAGTGATGTACTTTATCGACTAATAAGTGTACATTATTCAAGTTATTAACTTGTATTTTTATTGACGTGTGTATAAGGATTTATGAACTTTGCTAGTTGTCTGTAGTATCCTTTAAATAGGAGCTATCTAAAAAATGAGCTGAACTGAAATAATACCTTTAAAATAAATTTGTTAGACTTAATAATGACGGGAATCTATTTTTGTTAGTACGATTTAATCAGTTTAAATACATTTTGTTTATGTACAGTAATTATTTCTGTAGGTACACAGTAATGGCTAGCATTGTTCTTTATTTGATGTAATTATACATGAGATTCATTTCTGATTTATTCAACTTTGTTATTCGTTTATTTGTTCTTACAGTTTTATTCTACGAAATCATGTGTAAAGAAATAGATTATTCCTTGACAAAAATACAAATCTGTAATTCATTCCAACTTTGAATATGTTCTCTTATTTATTCACAGCTTAGAGCAAATTACTAAGACATTCCTGTTTTTCCTTTGATCAATAATTTTGGACATATATACTATGTTCTAACGATTGTTGATATAATCCAAAACGTGCGCGGATCTAAACATTTTCGACGATTCTTTTCAGCAATGTAACGAAATGATATGTAACTTAGTGACCCAATTAAGACTTGTATTTCAGCAAACGAACAAGATGGATAAGTGTAAATGTGAAATTTTGTTTTCTACAAGAATTACGTATGCAAAAAACGCATGAGTTTGTTAAGAATCTGGTAGGCCTACAGTAATTTAATAGGCTTAAAAAGGATAAGATAATCTGATTTATGTAAAAATTTACACACTTATTATTCCTCTCAAGCACTTGTTTAACTATCGAAAACTAATTAATGTAAATCATCCATCAAACACAGTTGAGTTCACTTGATCTTCAGCTATATATTTTGTGTATGAGGGTCAGTGAGGTAGGTAAGAAAACTATTATCTACAACATTGTTACCTTGCCACAACAGAAGAGAGTTAGAAAAGATACCCCCTGCAAATGACACGGCTCGTAATGCTCCACAGATTTCCGTCGTCGACGGTAAGGTTTTAAAAGTACGGAGCTAACATATCAAGAACTGGCAAAAAGTTCATGTGCCGCGGACCTTAAGCAATTGTCCCTTGGACACTCCAGTCACTCTCCTAGGTCTTCAAGAGCACTACTTATCCAATTTTCTTTTCAGGTAGCTTGAAAAGTATCGTTCTACGGTATGGACAACAAGGTAGTGATAACCACCCTCATACGTCTAACAGCACTCGGAATCATTTTGTTCGTAATCAAATTGCAGTTTCATTACCTAGTAATTTTCCTGTTACAACCTAAGATAAAGTTTAAACCCCCAACTCAGTGGCTAAAAGTCAGGTCCTAAATGAGTACCGCCCACTGTTTTCTAAAGGCTATTTTTATCATGCAAGTCAGGTTTATATATATCTAACCAATATCGATTTATTTATTTAAGCACATAAACATTGTTACAAGAGGGCACCGAATACATATGCGTCACACAAGTCACTTGATCTGTGTGTGGAGTGTGATATTGCCCGTGTGCCTAGATCGGAGTAGGCGGTTCTCTTAGGGAGCCACACTCGGAACCTTCAAACTAAAGGTTCTTATCCACAAGGCAGTGGAGCAACGTCAGGAGATACAGTCTCATGGTATCCAGTGACCAACAATAGGTTCGTATGCCATCTTTTCATTCAGGATCCCGTAGCCCATGTCCACCATTGGTTTGGAATCAGGTGTTTGCAACCTCTTTAGGTGGACCCTCCATGTCTATTAAACTGGTTAAAGCGTCGGACATTTGCTTTTCGTCCTCTCAATTTCGTAAACATCACCCTCGTCGCGAGGAGGTAATGAGTAGGACTTCCTCGGCAGTGGCTGTTTACGCGTGTCCATATGGGGCCATTTCGAGAGGGAGAGTTGACTCTCCACACCTCAGATATATGTAACAGTCCCTAATAATTCAGATAAAATCTTAACCATTTTCGAATTGGCCTCTAGATATTTTATTTTGTGTAACGGATAATAGAATTGAATGTTTTGTAATCGATAGTCCTATGAGAAATATTCTTGCAGTCTGTAACAGTAGGAAGGACTTGTGTTGTTGAAACAGTTTCTGTTTGATTGGTTTATTTGCTTGTCCTACAGACAGATTTTGATGATGATAAGTGTTTTTCCCTTAGATTCATGTGATCCTGTTCAGATGTGTAGTAGTTTTCAAATATTTGTCCTTATTTTATAGGGTCCAGTTCGATGTGTTCGATGTAAAGCCTACATGAATCCCTTCATGAATTTTATTGACGGTGGTCGAAGGTTCCAATGTCCACTTTGTAATGGTTTAACTGAAGTTGCCGCTGAATATTTTGCTCATTTAGATCATACTGGACGTCGAGTTGATGCAGGTCAAAGACCTGAACTATGCTTAGGCAGTTACGAATTATTAGCAACAGCGGAATATTGCAAAAACAACCAATTACCTTTACCTCCGGCCATCATATTTCTACTAGATGTTTCCCAATCTGCTATACGTTCAGGTTTAGTACAGCTATTCTGTTCCCAGTTTGTTGAACGTATTCTACCAAATTTACCTAGGTAAGTGATAGTGATTATTTCACACATTATTACAATATAACAAGCAATAATTGGGCCTATTTAGTAAGATTACAATTTCATTGGGTTTGTTAGTGGTCTACAAGACCTGCAGTCTGTAATCACTTGCGTTTCAAATGACATCTAATCATATTCATTTTTATGCGTAATCTGTCGTATATACAAATGTCGTTTTAGTAAAGAGAATTTTCATTCTAATAGCAAGTATTGTCTTTTTGTAATTGTTACCTTTAAGGTTTCCGTCAATAATTCTCTATCGTTAGCATTTATTAGTCAATAACATCTTATTGTCATACAGTCTATGGACCAGATGTCTATCCATCGTTTTAACTAAAAATTAGTTCATCATAAATACTTTAAACCCTCCATAATGGAGTAGAATTGAGGGTGGTCAGTTAGTCAGTCAGTCAGTCATCATCAACGTAGAGGCTGAGAAAGATATACAGTTGTCCAAGTTACCATAATGGATCATGTTGTTAAAATGATAACGTATTTCTTCCTTGTATTATTCATCAATATCAACACATTTGAAGCATTTTTAAAAATTAAATTCTCTTGTTGAAAAATTGAAAATCCAGTGAAAAACCTAATCCTCACAACTATTTAGATGTTTTAATATTTTTCATTGTTGCCAGTAAATACTCGTCACAAAATAGTTGTTTTATATTAGCGAAACATGTGTCAAGTTTAAGGTGACCAGGGAAATACTTCTATTTATATAGTGAAAATTCCCGTTTTGACATTTAGTAAATAAAGGAACAAATCGAGCGAAGAAATTTCTTTCCAACTAATTTTCGTTTCGTTACTTTCGATTCGTTACTTCTGTTTACAGCTTATATTAATTTGTCCTGGTCAACCTATTTGATAAGATAAAAGTTTTGAGGAAATGCTCAGTTACTGAAAGTACCCTTAATCATTGATTTACTTTTCAGTGAGAACATCACATAGATTTCACAATTATTGTCATCAACAACTTATAGATCTGTTTTGTCGATTTGTTTTAGAATACATAAAATGTAGGTTTCATAGTTCTGGTGATAAATATCAAACTAAATATCGCACATCTACTATATTTAATTATTGAGCTCAGTAATTCACACTACATTGTTGTCAATCAGATTTAAAACTGGGAGTAACTAATCCCCAGCAACTAGGTTAAGTATTTTTATTGTTAATTTCAGTGAATTGATTTTCAGTTTGAATTGTTTCACTTATTGTGCTTTGCAGTTTTTTATGAATCATATTTCTTTTTATTTACGATGAAGACAACATTCTGACTTTTTAAAAGTTTTATACGATTCTTTTTAAAGGTTCTTTTAAAAGGGTAACTAAGTAGTCTATTACAGTATTTTGTGTTCTTAATATAGGGAAAATTTTGCATCACCAGATATGGTTAATCCAATTCGATTGGGATTTATTACATATGATCATCAACTTCACTTCTATACTGTACCGCGTGAGTCGTCGTCATCCATTCAGCAAACATCTGAATCTACAGATCAGAACACTTATAACTCTTACGGTAAACCTCAAATGTATATTGTAGCGGATATTGAAGATGTGTTTGTGCCTACAGTTGAAGGTTTCTTGATACCACCTGATCCTGTTATCATTTCTAGTATTTTAGAAATGATACCTACTCAATTTTGTACAGAGAATGCTTTAAATAGACAACCTACAGATAGTGTATTAGGCCCAGCTATCCAATCTGGAATGGAAGCTTTACGTGCTGCAAATCGTTCTGGAAAATTATTTGTCATACATGCTAATCTACCGATTGGTGAAGCACCGGGTAAATTGAAAAATCGAGATGATCGGCGTCTTATAGGGACTGAAAAAGAAAAGGTAAATGTCATTTTCACATCTCCCACTTTTGAAATCATCATGGAATACTGTTATGATTTCGCCAATTATTACTGTTATTGTCGTTTGTTCTTTTACTGTTAAAGGTATAACATAATAGTGGATGTCATTTATGTCGTAGTACTTTCAGGGGTAGTGTAAACCTACAAGTAATATACTTGTGTAAATCTTCGTCTAATCTGAATTCTGAATTTCAAACAGAAGTTCTAGCTTGGTAAAGTACGTATGACTAGTACGTGTAACGTCCTAAAATACATGCTCACGTATTGTGGCACAACAGAGTAAGTCATATTATATGTAACATACCCATGTGGGCCAGGGTAATTTTACATTGATTTTCAGGAAAACCAGACACCATCCAGACCTTCACGTGACAACCCAAACAGTACAGCTCAATCCCGCTTCACAGGAGGACCAGAAACCGTATAAGCCTTAACGCTACAATCTGAATAGTACAGCTCAATCCTGTGGCGCAATCACACAGGTACCAAGCACCCTGGTGGACCATTCGCACCATTCATATACACATTCACATCACATTTTTAGTTATTCCGATCAGTGATCGCGTGAATCAATTATGCACAGCATGAACAGGCCAAAGTTGACCTATTCCGCTTACATGACCGTCAAACTCATTAATGTTAGCAATGGTGACATGCCTTACAATGTCCCAATGACAATGGCCCTTGAGAACGCTGAAAAGCAACCACCAGTATGAATGAAATCGGTTAACCAGCAAACCAATTTTTGCATGAACAGTAGCAAGACTTGCCAAAGCAATGCCGAACCATCCACAATACCAATGGCGAACCTCCAGCCTCATATGAGACCTTCAGCTCTACATAGCCATATAGCTTATACTGCATACAACACATGTAGGATAGTAAACGAAATAGCCCAGCCTGAAGCGTTAGGGCTTAAATAACGCTTAAAACCCATTATCTGGTTTCGGAATACTATAACTAGATCACCAAGATCATTTTTATCGCATTTGCGAAATTTTCATTTTTCCGACTTTTCAGACCTTGAGTTAGGAGTCGTATCCCTAACAGAGAAAGTAATGCAGTTGAATATAGAATTTTTACATAAGTACCATCTAGCAGCCTGGTCTTTGTCCAGCACTGATTGGTTGGAATTGGGTCAATCAGCGTACCCCAGTTTGACTTAGGACTTTACTCCGCCTACAGTTTCATTCTTAAAGAGCTCAGGACTTGATATAAATGTACCAGGGTGAAATTATGATTTTTGGATAAATCAATCAGATTTAAGATAGTACCAGTTGGATTTTTAAGCAAAAATTTATTTTCAAAGTTGAATTCACGGGTCAATTTAGGCTAGACTACCATTAACGCAGCCCTAATCAATGTAGTTAACTGTCTCTATTTACCTATAAAGAGGGTGGTGCGATAATTAATTTGTTCTGATTTCAGTCACCAAGCTGCAGGTTCGAATTCCACCTTATCTATTTCTGTTTTAGCAACTAGGATATACTATCACTAGCTTTCTCATACGTAGAGTGTGGTTATACTCGGTAACAAGTTAGTAGTAATAATAATAATAAATAATTTCTCTATATTAACAGCTGTTCAAGATTACTTTTATTCAGCTCTTATTTATTCATTTATTTTTACAGACTTTACTTCTTCCTGATAATGATTTTTATGTTGGACTTGGTCAAACATGCGTAGAAGTCGGTTGCAGTGTAGATCTTTTTCTTTTCCCTAATTCATTTGTTGATATTGCTTCTTTAGCCGAAGTGCCCAGATTGACATCTGGTCATTTATTCAAATATAACTGTTTCCAGGTCAGTAAAAATATTTTAGTGTGGTATGTAGTTAAATTTTTCTGCAAAAATTGATGTCTTGTGTACTTAACTAGTATTAGTGTGTTTACAATTCCATTATCGAAAATTAACTAATAAGGCGTTGAATTGACTAACAGGTAACCTAACAATGGTTAAAACGCATAAGTTTCAACTATTGAAGTTATGAGTTTCGAATCGTTACAGTTTTATACCCCTTTCTATCGTGCACTATTAGTAATCTATCAACGTCATATAGTTCCTTTTTCGCTGATTAGTGTATTCTGTTCATTGTACACTCCTGATGCATTTCATCGTTTTTTCTTTCTTGTATTTTGGGTCACCCACTAGATATCTACTTGATAGCTTTTATAATAATGTCTTTGTCGAGTTAGTATAGTCACTTATAAAGACCGATACTCTGCCTTTTCACAAAGTTTGGATGTCGATTGTTAACCGAGTTGTTGTTTGTAGTTATGTCTGATTATTGTATTAGGTGTCTGTACTAATATATTCAGTGTGCACTCTATCCTCATAAATTAGAATTCGGTTAATTCACACGACACTGATACGAGAAGGAAGTTATCATACTTAGCCTTTTGAATATATGATCATTATCCTGACTACGTGTTGTGGAAACCCTAGCAACTTTTGGCAATCTAAGCCATCTTTGGTAATGTTAATCTGGCTGTAAAGGGTCAGGTCTACAACATATCTATGGAAGAATTTCTGCTCTGTGGTTGTGAAAATTGGCCTCTCCGAGCCGAGGATTTTCTGTATTCAGTCATTGTATTCGATGGCGACGTCGGTAAACCGAGATCCTTTTCAAATTTTAATCATATCTTAGGCTTCATAACATCATCTCCAGATTTACTGTGTTGATATTATTATACTTCAAACGATTTGACTGTTGATCTGTTCCATCACTTCACCATTATAAACTTCTTTCTTTTATGTATTCAATAACTAAAATCAGATTTTTTAGTTCATCATTATCGTTCTGAAATTCTACACAAAAATTTGTATCTTAATGTGCCTCAGATGACTTTCATAATTTTGAATGTTAGCTTGTCGAATCATACCTTATTTAAGCATATAGGTAAAAATATGATAATGTCTGAAAGTATTCATTCATTGTTTGTTTGCTCAATGTTGTTAGGGACTGATTCTATTCATAATTGAAGCTTCATAATGCAACCCAGGGTGGGTAGAGTTCATCCTCCCTCTCACAATGCTCTCATACGTTTGTGTGTTTATACTATATGTCAGGAAAGTTCTAGTTACTAACTTTAAACAGCAGCCATTTTTTTCACGAAAGCTTGGAAACTGAAAGTGAATATCTGGCGTTTAAATCGGTTTGATGGGGGTAAGAAATCTAATTCCAAACCAAGCTTTAGGATCTTAAGGGGAAAAGGGGTGTTTGTGCTCATTTCGGTCACCGGATACCATGGGGTGGGATGTTTTGACATTACTCCAGTGTTTTGTAGATTAAAACTCTTGGTTCAAAGGTTAGAAGAGCGGCTCCTTAAGAAAACCTGCTTCAGCTTGGGCACCCGTTCACTAACCCAGCTCACACAATTTTGTCAAAATATATTGTCTTGTATTCTCAGAAATTTAATTTTATCGTTTTCATTATTATTAAATTATTGTTTTATAATGTAGATGATAAAAACGATGAAAACTTTTTATTACTAATACTTACAGGCTGACTTACAAGGTCATCAGTTTATAGCCGATCTTCAACATACTTTGGCCAATCTACAAGCTTTCAACGCTGTTATGCGTGTTCGAACAAGTACTGGTATTAGACCTGTTGAATTCTTTGGTAATTGTTACCTACCTAATACAACTGATGTTGAGTTGGCTAGTGTTAGTTCAGATATGGCAATCACTGCAGAATTACGTCATGATGATAAACTTCAAGAAGGTGAACACGTATTCATTCAAGTAAGTTCTTATTATTAGGAATTTTGTCGTAAAATTTATTTCGGGAGAATACCTTGACGAGCTTAGTAGTGTATAATTTAAGATGGCCAGTCATAAGCAACATTAAACCTGGGACATAGACGCATCGATTCAAATTCTCACACCATATCAATAGGGAGAGAAGCAATTATCAAGACATATATATAGGTGTACACCTACTTCTCGTTTCGGTCGGTTGATACAAAGTTTCTTTTTTACTCAGTTTTTTCTTTCAAGTAGTCAGTTGAGCTCGCAAATAGTAAGGTTATTTATCAATAGTCTCAGAATCGGACACAACAAAACACAACACGTTTTGTTACTACGTCTGATTTTTTGAAAGTGAGAAATACTAAAATATTTCTCAGATTTTATACTGTAGGTAGTAATGGGATTAATCAGACGAAAGTAACATATTAATTTTTTTAATGATTCTAAATAAATTTGAAGTTTCTTATATCTACGTTTCAAACAGGTTGCATGTCTTTATACTTCCATATCTGGACAACGAAGGCTACGTATTCATAATCTGTCAATTCCAGTGACAAGTATGATACCTGATGTATTTCGTCTTGTCGAATTAGATGCACATATGAATTGGTTGAGTAAATATTCAATGCGTTCTCTACTCAACCGTACACATTCACAAGTAATGGATGATTTAACGACAAGAGCTGCTAACACCTTGGCTGCTTATCGTCGTCATTGTGCTTGCGGTCCAAATGATGTAAATTCGAATCCTAGTGAATTAGTATTACCACAAAATATGAAAGTATTTCCTTTGTACATACAATGTCTTATGAAAACTGAAGCTTTTAGTCCTGGTTTGTCGTGTTTTGTTAATTAATTAATTAATTAATTAATTATTATTATTATTATTATTATTACTATTATGTCGAAGGTATGCTTATTTCCTGACGTCCTTCAGCATCTTAAATGACTAAGAAAATGAAATCACCTTTTAGCTAATCAGATCACATATAATCTGAATGAATAACTTTCTACATAAGAATTTCAAAACGATTAGTGTTAGGACTTTTGAAGTTTAATTCAGACTAAGGTTTAAAGTTAAATTTGTTTGGGTTAGATGTTTACATTTGGATTGAGATTTAAGATTAAAAGTTTGTAGTAGTGACTCGATTTTTTGTAGTCATATTACTAAATACTTAAACAGTTAGTTTTGTAATTCACTTGGTATTGTTTTACTTGAATCTTCCCACTGGTGTTTAGGACTGCAATTGATCAGTCTCTTATTGGCATATATGCATACTGTGCGGATTGCTTCGATGGTGCCTTAATTTACAAGCATTATAAGCAAATATGGATAGTGGATAGCAGTAGAATCCAGGACGCGCGTTTTGTCCTATTTGGATGTACCTGCATCTGAGTTGATGTTTGCTCCGAAACTCGAACCCAGTACCGTTCGCTTCAAACGCCATCGCGTAATCCACTTAGCTACTGAGTCCTGATAGGACGAAACTCGCGTCTTGGACCCCACTGCTAACCACTATCCATCTTTATTTAGTTTTATACTTCCAATTACCAAGAATCTTTAGATTTCAGTAGTTGAGATCATGAGTCAATTGAAACTAGACCAAAATGGAAAGCCTGGAAGCACTGGACGGCCGTTTCGTCCTAGTATTGGACTCCTCAGCAGCGCACATTCACGATCCCGCCCCCGCGAGTTTTGAACCCAGGACCTCTCAGTCTTGCGCGTGAGCGCTAGACCACTGAGCCGGCGTCCAACGGTGTTAATGTCTAACTTCTGATAATAATCTTTAAATTATTTATAAAAACTTATAAATCGTGTTAAAATGCTTATTTACAATTAGAATTCTATTTGTTTTGCATTATTCTCTTATCGTGGAAGGAAGAAAAAAAAACTTGCCGAAGTTCGTCTTTCTTATTCATTGACCATCATGTATAAATCAATTTGATAGGTTTTGCACAATTCTTACTTTACTCAGTAAAAATACAAACTATCCATGATCACATTTTGAAGGCCGAGCAAAAATCTCATAGTTGCTGTCTTAAATCTGATTGACTAGTCTGTAAAGTATGAATTACTATTACTGTTATTATTACTACTGTCTGAGACTTGGTGGTGTCCGTATTTCGAAATAATTCATAAGTGAGAGGACTTGTAACTGTGAGGTAAATTTGCTGAAAATGTTATACTCTCTTTAGTCTCAGTTATCATCATCATCATAACCACAAGTGATTGACAGTTTGGAATTCGATCATGTATATATGTATGTATAGATAATATTTTACAAGGTAAGGTGTAACAACTACGAAAAGAACTCGTTGAGTTCAGTTTGAAAATGTTACACGGTGTAACATCTCACGACTACACACGGAATCAAACTCACTGCTTTAAGGTCTCATGGCTGTCATGTTACTTTCAAAGTCATTAATTCTGCTGAATACATAAACTTCTAATATTATTATTATCATTATTATTATTATTATTATTATTACTACTTTTACTGTTATTACTATTATTATTAATACCTTTTTTATTTTTAACCCAGCTGACGGTATCACAATTGATGATCGTTGTTGGCAAATGTTTTTGGTCAATCAAATGGACGTTAAACAATCCAATTGTTATATTTATCCTCATTTGTATCCTATTGTATGTTATTGTATATTTGATCAGAATTTACTCTGATAATTACTTCTCGTTATATTTATATATTCAGAGCGGGGATTCATTTATTAAGGGACTCAACTTTCAGCCACTACGTCTCAGGTTCCAGCTCCACCTCACCTACTTTGGTTTGGACAACCGGGTAGTGCTACTTTAGTGAACAAGAACACGGGTGGGGACAATTGAATGTATTTAACACAAATTACAGGACTTGTTAATAAAATCTAACAATCATAAATAAAATGCTTAATTTGCAAAATGTCCATCAATTGTCTCAAAATCACTCAGACTTCATTGTTCTTGCATTTTCATACAAATTGCATTCTGTTTCGATTCTTTACTGTTCGATCTTCTTGTCTCTGCTTCCAGACCTTCTGTTCACGACCAACATCATATACTACTTATGTCAATATAAGTAGCACACACCATACTACTAACCCTTACATTTAAAGTGTTGCTCAAAGCCATGTTCATGAATCTATGCTTTTATGGCTATGAAATACTATGAAAACTGAATATTTTTTTTATCGGACTCCAATATTCCACAGTTACGGCGGTTTTAGGCTACATTCACACACACGCACCCAAAGCTCATCTTTACCCATTTTGTACTAGTAGCTAATGTTAGTGGACCAGTGTTATTGTTTAGTGAAGTGTATACACCCGATTCGGAATCACTTTTGCTGACCATTTCACAATAGTTTTGTTTTCTCTTATACACGTTGATTAATTTGTTTTTCAGTGTACAGTGGAGTGGTGGTTTAAGTTTGGCTAGGGTATCCTTTCAACATTCGATCAAGGCGTGTCCGATGTTCGAAATTCTTTCCACGTGCTTCAGCTTTCGGTGGGGTGGGAGTTGTGCTCAGGGTAGTATCGTCAGGCTTCGCATTATCACACGCCAACAGTATAACTCAAATGCGGTTACATAAACCTGTAATTATCAAATGAGTTGCATTTAGACTTCTATTGGACAACACATGAGTTTAGCTTAACGTTTTTAGTTTTCCGTAAATTTATATGTATATGTTTATATATAATTCCTTAAATTATGAATTAGCAGAGGCTTGGAACCTTTGGAACTAGTCAGACTTATAATTGTCATCTGTTTAATTCGTTAATCGAATATCTCTAATCTTTGTATCATAAAAATGAGTTTAAGATTGGTAAACGGTTTTCTCGATAGTATTAGTATGTTTTGCCCTGTAATCTTTAGCAAATGAGCGTTATCTCAATTTCAACCTCATTCTTTCTTTAAAAAATACTTATTTTAGCATGATCTTTCACTGAATTTCGAAGGTGATATCCCTTATCCTCCAGCTGCTATACGCTGTTCATATGATCGTTTACAAATGGATGCAGCTTATTTATTGGATAATGGAATTTATCTTATCATGTGGATTGGTCCAAATATTTCGTCAGAATGGATTCAAGCAGTATTCAGTGTTCAAAATCCTGAACATTTTGAATCAGAAAAAGTAAGACAAAATCAGATATTACAATTAAAGATATTTTCTAAGAATTTTTATGTGTAACATGGTTTATTTTCATTTTAAAATCCTACTTAGAAAAATACGTTCAGTTTACAGGCTCACTATCCCCCATTTTTTTTCAACTTCATTTTATATTAGATGTCCTAGAAATTCCACTTAATTTAAGTTCTCAGAAAGTGATTTGTTACTAGAAGGTTCATTTAGAATATGGGGATTACATTCGTAAAACACTGACGAAATACAAGCATATGTAGAATGCGTTTCTCTCCCTTAAGTACAAAATATTGTTTCACAGTTGTTCTTAGTTATCGCTTGAACTTGATAGAGAATCAAGTGATTGGATACTCTGTCCATTTTATTTATCTTGGAAGTTTCATCTCCCTTGGGGTAGTTGTGTCTAACAAAATCTTGGCACCGATTTAGGAATCTCAGTTAGCCTTATGTCACTTGTGGCACAGGCGAGATGTCCGTCTGCCAACTTAAGAGGGAGTATACAGTGCAGAGACCCACTCTGTTACCGTAAAACATAGTCCATAAAAGTGGGAGACGTGCGTACGATGCGGGGTTTTGATCTTAGGTGTTCTTGGCGCGTCGCTCGTGTTTTTTCGGAACATCTGAGTGGGCAGTGCTGGAATTAGTTTTTATAACGGAACAAGTATTGTTGAAGTTCGAACTGGTTTTTCGAATTATTGTCAACTATAATTTGGTTTTATAATTACTTAGCTACCATATTACTATGTCTATGTATTCCATTTATCATGAGCTCTCGGTTAACCCATTAATTACTGTTATACGAATTACCATTTCTAATTTGTTACCAGTGTGTATTACTTACAGCTTCTTCTATTCAGAGCCACTTTTGATTCGTTTAATTATCATTATTATTTTTCATTTTATGGTGTGATGCTGTCCAGTGTGTCTGTACACAAACTATGTCTGCTTGAAATGTAGATGTAGTATAAGCTGTTTGCTGACTTTTGAACTCATGTTAGAGCATAGAGAGAAGCTTGCGAATAGTGGACGATTCGGAACTTAGCCTCGTCGACTCATGGTCAATGGTACTGATCAGGTATGTGATTGGGGACACTAGTTTATAGAGGACATAGTAGACGTCGAATTAGGCAAAAATGAAAATTGGGACTCTGATTGGTGACGGCTTCAAGACGGCATTAATAACGTTTTTAATCTTTATTATCTGAGGTGAGTATGACCACTTATCATGTGTGCGCAGTTACTGCCTACGTCGACATACAATGTCTGGTAGTGTAGAAGTAGGTTAAAATGATGCTAAGCGTGGCCTAAATAAAACATCAGTCCATAGAGTCGTTGATTATTGATCTTAACCGTATGGACCCATTTATATAGACCTATTATACTGGACGAAAATTCAGGTACGGCAAACCAACTTACTTTGTGCAAAATCACACGGTGCTCTTGCAAAATATGGAAGTCACTAATTAAATGCATCATTTGCATATCCTCTTTGAGTTGTCCTTTACACTCTTAATCGTTCTTGCAATCCTATTATTACTTGGATTGCTCTATTTTCCTTTCTCTTCTACTATTCTGGGATTTGTCTTGATAATTTTTTCTTGTTGTACTGATGTGGTATGGAAGCTTGAACTGATATATTTATGTACCAAGTTCTGCACATTTCTTATGACTCATTGACAAGCTGTCCCAAATATCCTAAAACTTCTAATGCGTACCCCCTAAAGTTAACTTGTCGATGCCGTTCGTTGCCATTTAATCCACCTTGATTATAATAATCTCGACTTTTGTAAGAGTTAAAGGTTAAAATATCGATTTCCCAATCGGATTTTTGTTGGATAAACTGGGCAAAACTGAAAAAGTAGCGAGAAGCACTAAGTTTCTTGGTCTAAGAGTCCATTACCTTTTTGTTGCAACCGTTTCACTTATTGATAACTTTTTAATCCCTACCCCCCTCGATAAGTTCTATAATTTCTGAATTGTTCTATCACATTCTTTATTTACCACTGCTTACAATCGTTGGGTAAAAATCCTGTTTTATATACGAGATTCTTCACTTATTTGTGAATCTAGTGTGGTTGTTAACTTGGACTTTGAGTAAAAATTTGCTGTCATGAACAATTTCCAGCCAAAAACGTTTTAATCATTGCACATTATATTATCAATCAGTACTCTATTCATAATTTAGTAGTCTAAACGTTCAAAAAAGAATGAAAACTTAGAAATCCTCCTACTCTATAACAATTGTTCAGTCGAAATTTATATCTGTCCACTCTCTTTATCATGTTCTGTGCCCGTAGGACTTGGAGAATCAACTTCTTGTAGTAAACATTCACATACATGGTTTTTTTAAACAAAACTTGATCATATGTCTTATGGAACAGTGGCTTTCTAATAAATGATACTGGGTCATTAGAGAAGCTTTTCACTACTATTGAGTTTAAAAATCCTATTAAATATCTTAATGTTTTAAACTACTTATTCATTTATAAGTAATATGATATTTATGCTTACACTACGTTACGCTGTTTTCATAATCCTATAATTTAGATCTATGACTTGTGTAATTTTGATAACGAAATCTCACGTAATCTGTGTACATTGCTGAAAAAAGTTCGTAAAAATCGTTGGCATTATTCTCGGGTAAGTGGGAACTTTCTGTATGTCTAATTCTTGTTTGAACAAATAAATGACGTCCATTGTGAATGTATATATTCTGTCCAGTTGAATACTCAAACTATAGTCAATGATGATATTAATTTAGTGCAGGTCAATATTCTCCGCTTTCAAGATATTCACTACTTTTTATCATCTATAAAATTCTTTAATACGGTAGTCAAGCCAATCAGCTGCCTCCTCATAGTGTTATGGACAAGATGATATTCGTGAATTCAGTCAATCAACAATATTATTGAGTAGATGAAGATTAACTGGTTATAAAGGTAACAGGGTAGGCGTGGTGTATACATTTAAAAATACTAGATGACATGGCCTAAAAAAGTCGTAATGATGAAGTTGAACTTGTTATATTATTTCTTTATCTTGTAAATATTAAATATCATTCTTAATTTTCCTTTCCTGAAATTCACTTGTTACGTTTTGAACTTAATTTCTCATGTTTTAGTCACGAATAAGATAAACTAAAGTTTTTTTAAGGTATATGGATGATTGTTATTTCTCTGTTTTCTAGAAAGGAAACTGTATACGCAGTACGTTTAAAAACCTAGGAGCATGACTGCAGTACCTGAAGGATAATTGCTTGAAACTGGTCACATATAACTTTTTTGTGAATAGTTCTTAATGTGTTAGCTTAGTATTTTAAAGGCTCTACCACTGGCGATGGAAATCTGTGGGAAAATATGAGATGTTCATGTTTTAGAGACTTAGATTTTCTAATATGAAGTTTAACTTTCTCATTGAATATCAAACAATTTTATATGCGTGTATTTAATAAAATGACTATATTAATAGGTAGTTATTTGTATGATAGATATTCACTAACTAACTGAAACATCAGTTGACATGTGAAACCATCATGTTTGTTTCTAAGTGTTGATGATTTTTAGATTAAAAATGCTTCAACTTTTTCGATCAATATCAATTCACATATTCTAGTATTCTACTTCACTTAATCTAATTTTAAGCCTTTGAATTTGAATCATACAACCTTTTTGCGAATGAATATAGTTGTAAAATTCTTAACTACATAAAGATGCATCCGGTTAAATTATATTATATTAGCGCCCAAATGCCCTGGTATGGCCGAGAGTGGGGTGGGTCCGCCCTCCCTCTCGAAATGCTCTCACACGGCCATGCGTATACAGCCTGTGCCAGGGAAGTCCTACTCACTGCCTTCTCGTGGCGGGGGTGTTGCTTACGAAAATGAGAGGGCGAAAAGCGAATGTCTGGCGCTTTAACCGGATCTCAAACCAATGGTGCACATGGACTCCAGTATCCTGAGGGAACAAATGGCGTATCAACCAATTATTGGTCACCGGCTACCATGGGACTGCATCTCCACGTGATGCTCCACTGCCTTGTGGGTCAGACCTTTAGGTCAAAGGCTCGGGGTGTGGTCCCCTAAGAAAACCACCTACTTAGATCTGGGCACCCGTGCAGTATCCCAGCCCTCACACATATCGAATGAGATTAGTGTGGCGCATATGTATTTGGTTCCTCCTTGTACCAATGTTTATGTGCTTAAATGAAATAAATAAATAATATTATATTAATAATACTAAAGATTATCTTGAGGCTAAGAATAGCAAATATTAGAATTAGGTCTTTTTGGTTTGCAAATATTCCAAATGGTTTGATGAGATAATGATTCTCTGAGGCAATCATTTAAAAAATAGCTTAAATGACGCCTTTTTTCCCCTCTAGCTATTTGTATGACAATAAAAGACTGTTATTTGTAGTGTATTAATTAGGGAGTTCATTTTTTCCATAAAGGGGAAATAGTAAAATTGCTTATAAAAACACGTTTTTGATAATTGACATTATATTCAAGAAGTATTCACCGTGTATTCATATTAGTAGTCTACTTTCATTTCACATCATTTTTACTGCATAGTTCAACAAAATGTTTTTTTATTGAGATCATGGATCGAAAGTACTAGAAGTCCATTTCGTCCTAGTATGGAATTCCTCAACAGTGCCCATACACGATCCTGCACACGGGACTTGAATCTAGGCTCTTCGATCTCACGTGCGAATGTGAGGGTTTTGTGAATATGTTTAAATTTTGTTATTGTTATGATACATGAACCTGACTTTAGTTAAATTACAACCATTGAGAATCAGGAAGAAATATTGCTAATTGATTTGAAGTTAAACATATATGTTATTAAATGGTAGCCTTGTAATCTGATGGTCAAACACAATGTTAAACCTGAAAGTCGCGGGTTCTGTCTTATGTATTGTCATGGAGATTGACAATACTGAGGGGGTCACATGTTAAAATATAAAACAGATATTTTTCAACGGTTGTTTAAGTTGAGTCTATGATATGGAATATTAAATCAAAACATTACGTTTTGTGATTCGGAGTAATTTTCTGCTCTAAATTCAGTAATACTACAATACTGTGCGGTATTTCCGTTAGGAATTCACGTGAGAACTAATAGCCATCGTTACCTTTTGTATTGTCATTGGTTAGGCAGTAAAATTTCATTTAACTATATCGTACCTCTACCAAAATTGTATGATGCATTGTTAAATGTCAAATGTATGATTTCCTGTTTTTTTTCTAAATGGTATATGTCTCTTCTCTATTCTTCTTGGTGTACTGTTTGTTGTAGTTATTGGTTGTACGTCCTGGAGATAAAAGCGAACTATGGTTTCGACGTTTCATGGTCGAGGATCGATGCAGTGGTAATTCGATTTCATACACAGAATATCTATGTCATATTCATAAAGAAGTATCCAGTTTACTACATTGATATTATTGATGATAATATGAGCACTATCGATATGGGTTGATGCTTAAATTATTGGTCTAGTTTAATCCCTTACTTTGGTTTTGTTTATTCAAAACAAACACTCTCCTAGTATTTGCAGCATGAAATTCGTCGAATGCCTTATTCTTTTCTTATGTACTCTTGTTGTCGGAGAACAACTTCTTTAAAAAAAATACCCATTTATATTTACATCAATCTTAATCTGGTATTTATTCTTGCGAATTCCTTTGAAATGTGTTACGACTAGTGCTTCCTTGAGATATTTCAGCAATTTCTGGCTTATACATTAGTGTATTGCATCGTGTGTGTGTGTGTGTTTGTATGTGTATGACTACTATTCACAAACAGTATAAACCATACTACATATGAAGGTAGGTATAGATTTTATGTATGTGAAAAGAAAATAGTTAGACGGGGCCAAGTTATGAGCACACACACGGTGTTTGTATTTTCTTTGTTACTGTTCTCAGTTTGTCATCATCACCACACTGGTTTCACGGTTTTTTACTTTTTGCTTCATTTGCTTTCTTTCTCCATTAATTCGATATGATCCTATCATTTTAGATAAATAATAAAAAAAAAACCTATTTTGATTCTTTGAATTACATCAAGTAGTGTTATTTTGCGTTTATGCACACGGTAGCGCATATCCAGCTCAACCCTTGTTAACAAAAGATCATCACCATAACTATAAGCAATAGGGATTCATTCATCCTTTCTCTCCTTCTATGCTTTGTTCTCCTTCTCCTTCTCTCTCCTTTTTGTTTTCTGTTCACTGTGGACAACGGCAATACGTTTTATGTTGCTTAAAATATGCCAAAATGGTACTTGTTTTTGTGATTGTGAGTAGTGGTGAATTTTGTTGATTTCTTTTTACTACTACTGAGGAGAATCCATCAGCTTACTTTTACCCTGCCCACCCCTTATCCTGAAACTAATGTAATTTGTATTTTGAATTGTGATGTTGTATTCTGGCTTTGTTTTGTTTTGTTCTGCTTATTAATTAGATACGTTGAGAATAGTGTATTTGTATGTTCTACTTTTGTTGTTGGTTTTAGTTCTTTTGTGATACTAATCTTCTGACTTCTCTCTCTCTCTCTGTGTGTGTGTGTGTGTTTGTGGAGAATGACAGTGACAAAATGATCTTTGAAAAGAGAATTATTGACTTATTGATAGCTTTGATTAAATTACATTAATGTTACATATTATTTCCCTGTATTGTTTTTTTAAATGGTTTCCCGCATATTTTGAATTTATCATGAATTTTTCTTCTTATGTTCCAATCCTAAGGATTATCGGGATGTTTGCTTTAATTAATATACGTTTTTATGAATAACTTATTCAACATATGATCTAATATGATGTTATGCCTTATGATGATGAAGGTTTACGTATTAATCGGCTTGAGCATAAAATGGGAACTCACTTTTTTAACGTCAAGATTACAGATTGTTTTCAAATCACTAGATTAAAGTATGTCAAGGAAGGCCTTAGAATGTAGATAGATGGAATTAAATTTTTGAAAGGGAACAAATCAAAATAAATGTTTTTAAAGAATCATTGATACTGGTACTCAATCAGTTAGTCAACCGTAAGAAAGTGTCTGAAAAGGAAACTGAATTAGTAGCGATCTTGGCTACCCGGGAGCGGGAGTCTAAAGAATATCTGCTTAAACCTGGTTATACACAGTATTTTTATGACTAGTTCTTGATATGTTAACTCCATGCTTTAAAAGCTTTACCATCGGAGATGGAAATCCGTAATGTGAGACGTTCTGTTCTTTGGTGCGGACCTCTCTAACCCCTCTTTCATTGTGTTGAGGCAGCATCGCTGTAGGTATTACTTACCTGAGAAAAACACCTTATTTCCGTCTCGTCGCAGCGGTATTCGACCCTTGTCTCTATCTTAGCCGTTCTCTGGTGAATCCGCCTAGCATGATAGGATCTAAAGAAAAAATGTTTTGGTCATTATAACTATTAGGTCGTTACAAGAGGAGTAGTCATTCCCGATGTCAAGTTGTCACGTGCGAGCTGGCGAAAAGTGGTACTGTAAATACAAATACATGTAGAGCAATAATAACATTCAACCATGAAGTTCCTATTTAAGAAGTTCACCAAATCATATGCATTTTAGATATTTCAACTAGATGAACAAGAATTGATAATGTGTTTAAATTATGTCAGGTCAAACCTAATGAATAAAAATTTCATGACTATTCATGAAAAGAAAGTGGTAAGTTATGTACGAGTTGGTAGTTTTTGTAAGCTACTGTTATGAGTTATCTAAGAAGAATTATGGAACATATTGTATTTAATATGACTAGATATGTTATGACTTGATGTCCGGCTTTTTATAACGTGATTTATCCACCAATCAAAATACGACTTATAAAATCTTAGCACTGTAACAAATCAATGACGTTCGACCGGTATGGGCAGCACAGCGTCCTTATTGGTCCTATGTCCGCCTAGCCCGTCCACTTGAGTCCAGAACACCAATGCCAGCTTCCACTATGCGAATCGAGTCATTTATCTCAGACATACTGTATTTATATATCAAACAAACAGACCGCAACGCACCATAAAATAGGAAATAACATTTGTACACAATAAAGTCAAAAAGTGACTGTGAACGTGGGAGGCAGTAATTAATAAACAGCATCATTTAGGGACAGTAAATCGTACAGAAACAATTTATGGGTCAAAATGAAGCTTATAATAAGAGGAATATAACTATACATAATCTATTTATTGAATAATTATACAATAAGAATATTTATAGAATATTAGTCCATTAATAGTCCTCGGAAGTTACCTGTAATTTAATCTTCACTAGGATGTAACGAGATAGACTGGCAGTTAATCAATATTAACGCCTACCACGTCAGCCTGCTTGAATGTATGGGCCACCTGTTCCTGCCATCTGAATATTTCGACAAGTTATCTGCCTCTGTTTGCATTAATGCATCATTATGTCTACTAAGCGTATGACATATTAAGGCGCGTTTATAAGAAATTTACGACCTTTCTCTGTACAGGTTACAAAATAGTACAATCAGAGACATCGTAGTGGCTGGTAATATTCGTTGAAAAGAATGAACATTATTCAGATATCAATTACTGAAATGCTAACATCTAACTGGTGACCACTCAATATTTATCGTCAGAATCGATCAAGAAATAAAGGAAAAAAAACTTCTTGAAATACTTTGCTGAAAATTCCGTGTTGTATCAAAAGTATAATATTAAATAAAGCCAATGATAATAATGAAACTCAAGAATAGAGAAGAAACTTTTTATCTTCCGTTAGAAAATGGTTTTTGTTAGGTAGTTGAAGGTAGTCAGTAGGAAACCTTGCTTGACCTTGTTTTCAGGATGTGCCTGGAAACTGGAAAAAACTAATAGTCCTTGTGGGATTCAAGCGATATACTCTTTCACATCCTGGGACGTTATCACTAAACTATTTAGACTAGGATTAGTCTCTTACACTCCTGAGATATTTATAACAGTGATGGCGGATTTCATGTTTGTCTAATCTTTCAAGAATTGGTTGGATTCTACCGATCAGGTAGTGAATCGACGTTACAACTATTTCAAAATCGACGATACGTACCCCTATGCATTATTATGTGAGAAACATCTAAATGATGTTTTATCAATCTAATATCAAGCTCATCTTCAAATATACCTAAAAGTAGCTGGAAAACCCCATCTACTATAAGTCAACAAACATTACTGATAAAGAATGTATGGTAAATATTACTATATATATATTATATAATGCTGTTGTACATTTATAATTAATAATGACAACAGTAGAATTTATGTAAAAACTAAATTGTACTTATATGTATATGATACTAATGGACAACACAATAAAAAGCAATCATTACAACATACAACATTATTGACAATAAGAGTAGTAATAACCATCCTAATTGTATGTAAGTTTAAAAAGGCGAATAGAATGACAAATGAATTATGGCTACCAATTAGGAAAATGCACAGTTTTGTAGGCGTGCACTTATATAGGTGTTTGTGTACGTCTGCATGTGTTTTCACACATTTATATAGTAAACTAACGTGATGCATTTCGCCCCATCGGTTAACACATCTGACTAAAAATATCTCTGTTTCTCAACAATATGTATATACTACTTACAAAGTTGACTAATAATGATATTAATTAGTTGATTTTCATAAATATCATGTAAATGGTTGATATTGTGAGAGAAAAAAATAGGTGATGATAATGACGATTTCAATAATTGTGGAGCAGAATTACAATTATCCGTACCACAAATACATAGTTCTGAATTGCCGCCTTCTGAAGGATGATCAACACATTTAATTTCTTCTGGCTCAGCACCTTCGGTAGCACAGAAACGTTTCATCAATGTGACTTCTATAATAATAATGACAGAGTATTGGTATTATTATGATTGATCAATTGATTTTTAAGGACAAAGATTATTAACAAATGAAATGCGAAAACTAAGGGAAAATATTGAACTATATTCTGTTGGTCATTTACAATCGAAAATTGTTTAAACACATGAGTATAGATATTGATTATTTCCACATTAATGTAGATCACTTCCAATTTGAGCCTGAGAATTCCGTTACACCAGTTATGCCACTTACAAGTTGTAATTTTTAATGAGTTGGAGTTTTATAAGTAGTATTCATAACAGGTTGGTCTTAGCTGTGGTACTAATGAATACCCGGGAGCAGTGGACAACCGTTCTATTATAATATCCTGCTTCTCAATAGAACACCTATGAAGTGCCGGAGGTCGAATCCAAAACCTAAAAGTCTCACGGAAAACGATTAACTACTAAGATCACTGAGTTGGTGTCCAATTTTCAATTCGTGATAAATACAGCAGTCATGGGATACCATTGTTGAAAATTCGTCTAAACTTCATCAATCATAATTCTCATTAAAACCTAAGGAACATTTTGAAGTAATTTATCAATGAGCTGATTGTTATACTTCATTTAAGGCATTCTTCCTAACACCCCTTCCACTAAATCTAAATGTTTGTCCAATAAGTTATCTTGGTAGAATTACATTTTTACTTATGTATTAAATGAAATGGAACAAAACTTTTATAATCCTTAGAAGAGCTGATATTTTTATTGTTGTTAGAAAGTACATTTTTAAACTGGAACGAATAGGTGAGAATGACAAACTATGGAAGTCATTCTTTAAGGAGATCTGTATTTACACTTTTAATGTGGATGTATTAAATAATTAGTATAAGATTTTAATCTTCTCGTAGTTATAAAATTCCGTTTGCCGCATTGATAAATTAAAATCATGAAGTGATCAATGATAGTCTGACTGTGGTTTATGTATAGAATTAAGCTAGATTTCGGAGTCAGGATATAGAAGATTTGTTGACCAGTTTTTTCCCTGTTTTGATTAGGGCTTGAAGATAAGTATTCTGTGTAAGCTAATGAACGTTAATATATTAGGTCATTAAATCTGGGAGATTAGTATATCATGTTTGGTTAAATTCATAGTTGTTTATACTTGGACTTGATCACTAATGCTATTACCGAAATCATAATATTATAATGGTTATAAATTTTCATAAATCACATAAGATGTAATTCACTTGGTATTGTTTCCTTGAATACTCCTGGATTCCGCTGCTAGCCACTATCCATCTTTGCTTAAAAAGCTTTTGAGTTATGGCAATAGCACAGTATGCATATATGCCAATAAGAGACTTGTCAATTGTAATAGGAAGATCCAAGTAAACAATCTTCACCTGATTGCACAAGAAAGTGGCCATAAGTACTCAGTAGTTAAGTGGATAGCGAGAGGGCGTTTGAAGCGATAGGTACTGGGTTCGAGTCCCAGAGTAAACATCAACTCTGAGATGCAGATACATCCAGCTGACGAGTCCCAAATAAGACGAAGCGCTCATCCTGAATTCCACTGCTAGCCACTACCCATCTTTGCTAACATATTTTTATTAGAGAAAAGATTAAGGTTTAAAATCCTTCTTTGTCTACTATCGATATACTTGGATATTGTTATACTTCCTGTATGTAAGATATAAACTAAAGTTAACTAAAACGTATAATTTATGTTAAACAAATCCGATATTTAATATCTTCATAGTCATTGAATAAGTCAATGCCTATCTAGAATCTATAGCTCAGTATGCAATTCATTGGAGTTTAAAGTGAATGATACTGGGTAAGAACAAAAGGTAACTTAAAATATTCAATGAAAATCATACTAAACTTTATGAATTAGATGCTATATAATTAAATAGCTGAGATTATAATGAACCATCACAATGTTACTATTTATTTTCTGTAATAAAACTCATACTGATT